TCTTTTAAGATTTACAAATGGAATGTAATATGCTGCTGTTTGATGGAGGAGTAGATCAACGACGATGGAGGACAAGGAGACCCCTTTCCCATCCCTCCCAGTGCTACCGATGCCTGAGGGTCCCAGACTTACCGACCGTGCCGTCCGTTTCGACCTGGCCGCGGAAGAAATTGCGGGCCAGTTCTATAGTCTGTTGGGAAAGGGACCGGAGCCTAGACTAATGAGATCCCTGGGGGGTTTCTGCGGCCTGGTCTAGGTTCCTTAGGGCCCGTCCTCTCGGCTCCCTGAGGCTCAAGGTTTCTGAAGATATGAGCAGACCTGGAACTTCTTTTTTGAATTTTAGTTTGAAATTGAGTGTGCTAGGTTTGCTTATATTGTTCAGGAACATGTTGTAGCTCAGGGGAAGAAGCTGTGGGGACGCTGGGGGGAGGGCTTCTCTCGGGAGGATCAATCAAATCCCCCCAACTCTGCGGGAGAAGAAGGTGTTACACTTCCCCTCCCCTTCCCCCGACAAACTTGGCCCTCTGTGACCTCCGAGTTCATCAAGGGGGCCAGAATCCTCCATCCATGCCCTTCGTTGTTTCTGTTTCTTACTGTTCCGTTCTATTCAATAAATCTTTGTCACTGTTAAGCTTTTTTCTCACTCACCAAGTTCCGGCATGGTACAAGCAAATGAGAATGAAGCGAGAAGAGTGCATGTCTGGAACAGATTTCTTCATGGATGGTTCTGCCAAACAAGAAGTCGTGAAGGGAAAGATAAAAAAATTCAGAGTAAGTACAAATCACAGCGAAAGAGTATCGTTGTGAGCACAAATCGCAAATCGATAGAACTCTCTCCAAAAAACAAACGGTGAACAACAAGCTAGGCCTAGCATGATAACTCTTTTCCCAAACCATGATCAACTTCGAATGAAAAAAGCCCTCGTCATAAGATTCTCTATTCAAACAAAATTAGCTCCTTCGAGATCAGTAAGTATAGTTACATTTACTGTGTTCGATAATAAATCTCACACCACTACGTCACACCAGGAAAGGCTCCCTACAACTCGTGACAGTTGAACAACACGTGTTAACAACTCCAATGATTTGCTTACGCTTTTCCCACTCATGTTCTCACCAATCAAAAGTTCTGAACAAGAAATATCAACCAAGCATAGGACATCTATACCAAGCTCAAACAGGCAATTAAGAACAAAACAATAACAACTCTTTAGCAACCTCTCTCAACCATCATTAATACATTAGAGGCATTTATCGAAACAAATTTTAAAGAACGGGCGGGTAGAAGAGCGGACAACTATCCGCTAAAAAACATTTGAATGTTTTTGGAAGAAAATCCCATAGTTGATAGATCAATAGATCACGAGACTGTTTGTAAGGAATGGTTACATTTAAACATCAAAGTAGATCAATCATAGAACACTCAAGTACAAGATCAAGCTCCTCCATCTTTTCCCATCATGAGAACATAATATTTGAAATTGTTTTTGCAATATGAAATATTCAGACTTTGCAGAATATAATGTAATCAGTAGATTTCTAAGTACGAATTAAGGTAAAGGGAGATGGCAAATACGTGGACACATCAGCGTGAACAACCGCTCAAATATATTTCTTATCTTTGAAAATGAAAAATAACTGTCTTAGTCTCTGCAATGGAGCACGACTGCTCACAATTATTTCGAACTTGGAATGAATATTAGATGAATTCATTTTTCAGTTCCTCCTTCTGCAAAAACTGATTTGCTGTCTTGAACACATTGCACTTCCAGACGTTATGCGGTTCAAGAACAGTCGAAACCATTTCGTGTTACCTGAGCTTTTGAAGTATCGTGGGAGGGAAACTGTCTTTACGATATTCCTGGTCTGTTCATTCTTGGATAAACTTATTAGAATAGCAGGGGATAGAAAATAAACTAAATATAACAAAGTTTTCGAAACATAGATTGATATTTGGTACGCAGATAAGGAGGATACATATGAACGCAACGTAAACCGAACGAAACGACATGATAGGTGAATATGGAAAATGCACGACATAGTGATTTCATATATCATATATAAATCATGTTAAACGATAACTTAAATAATGGAAACAAGATATTCCAACTTAATTGTATATTCTATAAATAATATTTGGATAAATATGCTTTGTTTTAAACAAATACAATAATTTAACTATCGGACAACATTAGGAGGACGACGTATAGGTGGAAGCTTATACTTAGGTTCAAATATGTTTCTAAAATTGTCCACAGTATTTGGGTTTATCTTATCAGAAACTACGAATGAATTTCTTCCAAATATACTCTTCTGACTTTGCTTAACTACACTAGTATCGAGAGATTTTCGTGTGGTCATGGCATCAGTTCGTTGTTGTCCAATACTTTTGAGTCCCGATTTTTGTGAATTTTCCACTCTATTCTTCCACCACTTAAATCTTCCGAAAAACACTGAGAGGACGATTTGTCGTAATTCTCGATAACGAGTCATATAAATAAAAAAATTTATCATAGTCTGAAGTAGCTTTTTAACCAGATCATTCGAAGAATGAAGTCCTTACCTTACTAAGCGTCATTGAATATAACAGAGTTGAGTAGTTGGCTAAAATATTGTAGGGGTTCAAAAACATAAGAACATCCGGAACGAAGAGTAAGATTATAGAATTGATCGTTACAAGACCTGAAAGAGATTCAGGCTAGGTAACTTGAAATAGAAACAATCAAACCTAGAGTTATGGTACTGTTTCTATGGTTCGCCTTCTGGATAGCTGAAGCATCTGGTTGATTCTGAAAAACAATGCATTCTGTTTATAAAACAAGATGAATGAATTAATACCAAACGCAGAAAAGATAGAATGAAAGCATATATGAGAGCACTGGCCAAGGTAGATACCATTCTCAGTATACGCATAGCGCCATACACCACTGGATGAGCAGCTCCTTTCGTTGCCACGCATTGTGCTGATGTCACGTCCTGATTGCCCCACAGAAGAACGTAATTTACAACAACTAATAGTAAGCAAATTAGATAAGGTACTGAATGACGTAGATTTGAATGAATATATGATTTAGCGAATACCTCCAATTAAGCTGCTTGTGTAAACTTTTCCTGCTCTCAAATAAAAAAAGGGCGCTATGGTGCAGAGAAAGAAGTTGAATGATGATGCAAGAGGAAGTAATCCCAGCAGAGGAGTTGAGAAATCATGAATCGGGAGAGCCGGCTCCAGCGCGCAATTCCAGACAGTCGAGTTATCATTTTCTAAATATACTCAATGTTCATTTTGTAATTGCATACAGCTATGTGAGATCAGAGCACTTATAGTGATATCAAATCATAATGAATTAAACATTGACAAACCTCGTCCTTGATCAGCTAGTCGTAACCTTAGTTCAGCAACCAGCATGAAAGATATAGCATACAGATCATCCGCTATAGCTTGACCGAGGATAAGGAGGAACTCCCGACGATTTCTGCAAGTTTACCAATAATTTTTTCATTCAATGTAAAACGATGTTACCGATTTTTCGAATTGCTCAGAATACAGAACAGCAGTATAGAGTTGGTAAGACATATCACAGTGCCTAAAGTAGTCATTACTGTCTGAGTGCTACGGCATAACATACCTTCGAAATAATACAAATACATGTTGGAACGGAAAGCCGTGGACATGTCTTCTGCAGAATGACTGTCAGAGGTATAGTTATACAAACTTTCGAACAGAAAACAAAGAATACAATACATTTCAAAGATTTAATTCGCGTCCAACCCAGAGTGATCAAAGCTTACAATTAGAGAAGAACATACTCATGCCCTTTGGTACAACATAGATTGAAGACAATAGAAGAGATTGTTTAAATGACACCAGCAATGAGTCTATCCCGGAAATGGAGATATGCAGACATGATTAATCAAGAGGTAGTGAGCACAAGACGATGAAGTATGTTAGTTTCTCTTTCCTTCTCTCTCCCTCTCTCTCTCTCAATCTTAGAATGATTAATCACGTCAAGTTATAAAAATGATTTCCAAGTAACTGCAGAGATTCAAGATAATTATGAGAAATGTGTTCAAAAAACTTTTCACACCAATCTCCTATTCTTATATTCCAGTGAAAGGCTAGTATTAGAAGATCGAACCTCTCCAGCTGCTGATAGTGATCAATGAGGAATTAGCATAAATGACTTTTAAACTATGCCGTGAATATTTCACGCCAAATAGAATTATTCTATTTGTTGTCATTCTTAGGACGGTTGCCTCTCGGTGCTATTTCAACTCAAATCGTTTCATTATTCTAAAGATTATTTGATATTTTCCCTGCCATTTACAATGAAACAGAATATTTAATGCAGTGGAATATCTGTTCCTAAACTGATTAGATATTCTGAGCACCTGTTCAAAAAAGCATTCAGTCATGGAAAAAGAACAAATATTGTTTTGTAATAAAGCTCAAACAAAACTTGTCTACATGACAAAGAAAACGAGAATACAAGACCGGCAAACAGGATAAAGAAAACAACAATGATTTACCTTCAAGATTATCGTATTCTCAATGCTTTTTCCAACTTCCGTGCTTTATCCGCATGAGATTTCAGCAGTGGCTTCCAGTCAAAGCGTGGCTCAAACATGGACTAAAAATTTTGAGTTAAGTAGGAGTAACAAAATAAACTTGTTTACATAGAAGTACTCATATCTCTTGATTCGTTTGACGTTGTATACAACAGCATACACAACAACGAGAAGGAACACTATGATGTTGAATGATAAACAAATTAGAAACACCGGTAATGGTATTGCTATGGGTACGAATATCAAGGATAATATTTCCAGTAAGATACATGACTGCAATATTCAAAGTACATTAATTACAGCTCATTGTAATGAAACTTACAGAGATTACAAGTGGTGAAATAAACAGCCAATTGCACAGCCAAAAAACGTTCACAATTACCCTAGTTCCATTCATTGCCCTTATATTTCTGGAAATATATATCCTGATTATGAGAATGAGAAAGCACAATACAAACTCACACAATGAACCTTCGAAACCCGTAAACATAACTTATAATGATGATTTCAAAAAGTACAACAATCATAGTGGAAGCAGCAATGAAATAGTCTACATAATGTAATCCATCTAGGCTATCTGAGGAAGTCAAGTTAAGATATGCGTATAGAGAGTCCGAAAAAGCTTACTAGTGAGCGAGAAGAAGTTACTCAAAATGAATCCACAACAGCTGAAGACAATTACGGTTCCAAGACTATACTTCTCTGAGTATTGAGCTGCACTAACTTCATACCGATCGATGAATATTTTTAATAAAATCCATAAGTTCAGAGCCTTCAACAGTTGAGGATTAAAGTTCAAAAAGTTTCCCCTAAGACCTACCGCAGTGTTCAAAGATAATATCAATTCTGCTAAGAAAAAGATTGGGCAATACAGCAATCCTCTACGTAATCGTGTCAAAGTCTGAGAAAAATAGTTTGAAAACACACTTCCGTGGGAAATTGCTCACTTCGGGAATAACTGATTGAACATATCCAACTTTTGTAATAACCATAGAAATTCCTGCGTCATTCTCGAATTGGGGATATACGATAGCTGAAATTAAAACAATTCAAGACAATAACAAAAAGTGTAAACCTGAATAGTAAGCAGCGATTGTATACAGTGACATTGTGATAATAATTTGGAATATATAAGATACGAAAGATATTCGAAGAATATCACGTTTATGAGGGCGGTGGAAGCCGCGATAAGAACATATCAAAAGCATCCCACCGCATCCTAGATTCAAGGTAAAAACGGCTTGAGATGCCGCATCTGCCCATGAGTCCAATGAGAAGAATGTTCGAAATGAGAACTTATTGAACAGTTCAATCAAGCCGTTATCTGCCTGTGGCAAAGAGACACCTGTAATGAGAAATTGGTCAGATGTGTAAGTTATTGAGCATAAATTACCAACTACAAATAGAGCAGAGTATATGGCAAAAGATATATAAAGAACCGGACGAGCTGCTCTACTCAGCACTGGGAATCCTTTATAAGCAGCATAAGCACATGTCGTCCAAATTACGATCCCCGAAAGTATTGTCACAAAGTTTTCAGGAGTGAAACTTTCTGCCTAGGAAATGCTCTCAATGAACCAGTGATAGATCAAACAAACCGAAAGCATTTCGACTATGTATGATTCAAATGGTGTGATTTTCTTGAAATTAGATCTGGTTCGAAACAACGATCGAATCATTCCTGTGCAGTTTTTCGACTCTGGTGAGTCAACACAAAACTCTTCTCTTGAACAACATTTGGATAAGGAAGAAGGAAGATCATTTAAAACCTATTAGGATCATAGCAGTCTCCTTTGCTCAAGTCGCATGTTTTCCACGGCAAATCATTGAATGTAATTCCTGAAAGGACGGTTCGAATGACGAGTGCACTGAAACAAACCTGCAAGAGCCGATTTGAAGAAGAGCAACAACGAATGGGAAGCCCATGTTGTTGACGTGACGGTTCGGACGGTTTGTATCAGAGCTATTGCGGCAGTGATGCCTAGATGTAACTGAGAGACTGTGCACAGTTACAACTAACCTCCAAAAACCGGAGCCATAGAATGGTAAATGAAGTATGAGGATCTCGAACAAAACTGAGCTATAGCCAATTCCATATAGAGTGTAGGAATGGCAATGAAACAGAAACATATGGAGTACTGAATGATGAAGCCAACTATAACATGGGATACCATTTGATTGATTGTTAATATGTTCGAACCTCCTCCCTGTTTCAAACATAACAATGGGAAATGCCATATATTGCCGGAACCTATGGCAAACACAATTGCCATGACCAGTACAGGAGCATTAAGTCTTTTACAAAACTGAGCTTGTTCATATTCATTTTCTTGTGTAACATCCTCCTTGAGTGCACCACTGGACGATCCTTTTTCAGTAAGAATGCTGTCAGTTGTTGTTGATTTGACAAAGAAGCTGTTGTTTTTCTAGAAAAGTTTAAGTTTAAGTTCAAAAAATTAAAATTTGATTGTAGAAAACGGAAAAACATAAGGGAAGCTCATGAAGAAAGTACATTGGCATGTGCAACCATGATAACAATAGAGACAACATGATTACAATTATCTTTATATACATAGCGAATAGTTGAAAAAACAAATTACCATTAGTACACTGACTGCTTCATACACCTTGATGACTCAACAATGAAAAATATTTTTTTCAACTAATGTTTACGTGCAATTTCACGTGGAGTATGCAAATTTGAAAATAAAGCAAACAGGACGTTAGTGTTATGTGAATGTAAAGCCAAATAAATCTTTGAATATAGTAGAGTAATAAGACATTTTTGTAAATACTTGCACAATAGTACAGCTTAGAGTATGAAATTTCTAAATTTATTTGTTTACTTCCTAAGCTTTCAATCTCTTCATCTTTGGTTAAGATTGACCAGCTTTTATCCTTGCTCTGTCCAGTTGGATATCCATCCAGATGAGGTTCTTCTTCATCTTCTACTATATCTCTCTCACTATTTCATTTCCAAATATGTTGATTGAAAAAAGCAGAACAAATTCTCCCAAGTCAAGTGATCCTATTGAATTTCATGATCTGCTTGGCCAACAATCACTTAAAGTCTCTTATTATAACTGTTTTGATGAATAAAGCCTACCATTTTCATATTAATTTACAGTTTTACGTGACGCTTGCAATTCCAATCCCCAAATGGCATATTTGACATCGAGAATTGAACAAACCCCCCGGCTATTGTATAACAAAATGATGGAAAACTTAGAAAAGTCGCTGCTTCGTTTGCACGAACAGGAAAACAGAAGTGTTTCTTCTGTAGCGGAACTGGAAGACACCTAGGTACGAATTAGCTAGGCTTCCCCCGGGAAAGTATAAAGACGGTTAAATTTCCCCCATCATCTTGTTGTGACGGCTTATCCGCTTCTCTAATACACTTGAACTCTTTCATTGGAAGACTCCTACACCTTTCCCCGGAAAATATCCTTTTTCACTCAAAATAGTACAACTTGAAGACAAGTGATCCATTTCAATCTCAGGTTTTAATTTGCAATTTTTCGTGTAGTTCATGAAAATTAAGCTATACCACACAGAGACTGACTTGAATGTGTAGATCCCACAACAGCTTGTCAGCGTCTTTGATTTCGTTTGCCCCAGGAATCTCGAATTTCCACCAAAAAGGGCTATGATGACCTGTAGTTAGCGTGGGAAGGACGATTAAGCTTCAGCATGTGCTGCGTGAAATTCGACGTCATAAAAAAAATAGGACCTATATAAGGCAATTGAGAAGCTGAGAATGACGACTTACATCTGACGTTGACAATGTTTACGGGCAGTCTCTTCTCGTCCTCCTCTGATTATCTTTGATATCATCATTGAAACTTTTGTCGTGTTATCAAATAATCAAACCTCGTATTAGTAAAAATGCAAAAAATGTATCTTGTTTTACAAAACTTTTTTGATTTTTGAATACTTTTTCAATCCCCACGCAATATGGTTGAAGAGAGTGTTATTAAACATCTTCCCGTTCTTAGATTATGTTCAGCTACTTGTGAGCCTTCCCTTTTCATACAGAAGTAGAAAAACATGCATTTCAAAAGAATTACCGTCTCCCTAATATCTATTTGTCGAAGATATAATTATAGAAAACAACTCTTCTCGTCTATAGCTGGTTCAAATTGCGTTTTTGGCATTCTGTACATCTCTCCATTCATCATGAATATTATGAACTTTCTTACATCACGCAAACTGAAAATATCACTTTACATTCTTGGATGACTGAAGCTTCTGCAAGTGGACATCCAATCAGACCTCCTAGATTCGCTATTGTCGTCGTATGACCTTCCACTGAAACTCTAAGCGATCACAAGCCGAAATCTTTCTTTTGGCTCGAATTTTTAGGAAGCTCCACCCTCTCTCATCCCCGCCCTCTTCATACAAAGGCATGAAGCTCCTTATTTAGTCCGGTCGAACCATTCTTCATTTCGCTCTTTTCTTCCGAACTTCTGCTTATTATTCATATGAATCGGATCGGTTCATTCAACCTTTACAATGCCAGTACTCTTCCGGGTACACGAAAAAAGAATTCTTCGAGATTATGAAATGTTCTCCCAAGTCATTCTTCATCACGTCTGGAGAGAAAGAGTTAACGAAATACCTCATAGCGCTTCAAGCAATTGAAGCTCACAAAAGCTTCTGATGTCACAAAGCCTCTATTGTTGCTACTAAACCTTTCTTAACCGACCGTTTAAATCGAGCATTTGAAAACCTTTTCCTCTTCAGAAGTTGGAGCCAAGAGGCAATTCCATTTCTCAACTATTTTTTGTTTGTTATCTTCTTTTACTTCTAAATGTATTTCCTCATCTCCGTTACTAGTTTCCCGACCTACGCTTAGTGAAATAGAATGGAACGACCTTAACACTTGATTTCAGTTCGTCAAAACAATGCTCTCTCATTCTTGCTATTCATTATGTAAAGCTAAACCTAAACATCCAACTTTTTTCAGACATCACCTCGTAATGTGCTCCTCTTGGCTCAAAGCTCTAATCATTTGTATTGTCTGCTTAGTACTAATATGTACAGCCGAAGATGCTCCTGAAAAACGGCCGGCTTTATTATCAAGGTAACGTCAGCATCAGTGAAAGCATTTTTACCGAAATTGTTTTGATTTCCTTGTTTTTCTTCAAACTTTTTTCGACTTCCTTTTTTGCATTGTGATTTCCAAACATTGCGCCAAACTGAAAATTATTTTTGGAAAAAATATTATAAACTCCATTTAAGATATGGACGTGCTGTTCTGCCTCGATACGGTAAGCGCTCTGGCATGCCTTTATATTTGGAGGAAGTAGATGACAACGGTAATAAATTCATTTCAAATGAATGATTCATATCTTGTTTAGATAACGTACATCTTCTTGATAGTTTGGAAAAGTGGAGGAATTACTTGTATTCCATGCAAGCCTAAAAATGAAAATATGAATGTTACCATCAATTTCAAGACAATTATCGTGCCTGTTAAACATAATATTTTGGCAAAAGCCATAGAGATAAACCTTCTGTTACTAATTTGAAGTCTCAAAAGGCAATGTATGCGTAAATTTGGATTATTCAAGCTCTCGAATGTTCCTTTAAATTGTTGAGTTCACGTAGCGTCGTAAACTTCATTTCGCTCCTACTATCAATGCTGACCGGTTGTGTTCGCTGTGTGTCTACATCAAAGCTTAACCAATTCTAAATGCTGATATTTAATTATTTGGAGTAAACAGTCTGATTCTTATTAAGAGTTTAATGTACATTTGAATTACTGAAACAATATTTCTTTTCGAAATAAACTGATTTCGTAATCATAGTTGGCAGAAAAGAGATCGATAGATATGTTAGAAACTACAAGAAACCGCATAGAACAAACTACGTTTATACAATATGAAAATAAGCATTATGCAAAGGAAATGCGGAAGAAAGGTTAGTTCAAGCCCGAAAGTAAAAGTTTTTTTTCAAAAGTAATCCAGTTAATTAGAACTGTCCGAAGAGTGGCAGTAGAGCACTTATTCCATAGGTGTAGCGGATAACTGATGCAGCGACTCTTCTTCTGGTAGAGTGCGTCGTTTCCAGCGTGGATTACCGACAAGAATCTGAACTTAGGCTTTGAGAATGACACCACCAGCTTGCTCTTACCAAAATACAGACACTTTGAACGAAAACACAAATTCCAACCAAGTTACTCAAAAAGTGCTGTGTACACATTTGGCCCTCTTGTGTCCAACATCTTCAAAACGATTGATTGCAATTGTTAATGAAGTTAAAACTCACATGTGCTTCCATGCTGCTCGCTCCGAAATTCCACTACCGACAACAATAGACACTACCAAGAATAGAACAAGACCGAACAATTGATGGAAGGGCATTATGATTTGTCTCATTGGAATGGATAACCCAGGGGCAAAGAAAGTCACAAATCCAACAAAATACTGAAATATAAATAATTGTTATTCAAAAACTAGAAAGCCAACAACACCTGCAGACAATAGACAACAACAACAATCATGCCGATCCATGAATGCAGTGACATCATGTTGGGAATGGGTTTAGGGTTTCCTTGAGGATCTTTATGCAGGTTATGAAAATCAAAAACTGCCTTCAGAGCAATCAGCATAAACACCAAAACCTGAAAAGACACTTAAGTTCTTTCGAACTGAAACACTGGAATGACCATAGAATGAAGAGCAACATGAAGAGTTTTGCTGAACTTTTTTCGTTCATTTCTGAAGACGCGATAAACAATCAGAGACTCCCCATAGAGGAAAACCTTAAAGAAACCAAATTCAATTCGCAACGCTCAGACAGCAAATACTAACCATTCCCATTACCATGAAAGTTGGATGATAATGAAATTCTCTGTCAGGGTAATCCGTCCAAGCGAATCCATCCTCATATCCTCCCATCCAAATAGAAACAAATAGAACAGCGAGAGCTCCTAAAAAACACAATCATTCGAAAGTTACGGCACACATCCGCTCCCATTATAAGGATCAGTAAATATTTGCAACTTCCGGTTCATTTTTCGAACTTTTCAAAATATGTTTTAGACATTAAGCCGGAGTTTGATTTGAGTATTTTGAAACCACGAACCGGCTACTTGAGAAGTGATCAAAACAATGTTGAACAGCTTGTTGCTGGCATCTTCACGCAATATGGTGAAATGTGGGTCAAAAAGGAGAGACATCTCTGGAAAAAAAACAAATTGGAAAGTGAGAACAATCTAATCGCGAACAATAGAAGACGAAAAACAATCAAAAATTGGAAATGTATAATGTGAGAACACTGAAGAAGCTACTGCTCGCTATGATCGTTCAGACTAGTATGGCCGTCATATGGCTACACAAGAGAGCCTCATGCCCTGCGGGTCGATATCCGCTCGGGAGCCAAAAAAATAAACAAGAAAGAGAAGAAATCTTTCGCTAAATAATTGGAAAAATAGGTCATAAGTCACCGATAGTATTGAACATCTAACAAGTTTATATAACATGCCACATTTGGGCCAAAAGCTTAAGCAGCAGAACACACGACACAGAGTGAGAAAAGTGCCTCAAGCAGTCAATATAGCCAGCTGGAATATAGAGCTTCGAACGAAATGAATGAGTTCTGCTTCATTGAAAACGTAATGAATTCTCAAAAGAAAATTAAGTAGATAACATAGAAGGATGTGAAAAATAGAATAGACAATCAACAGAAATGGCAATGTGATTAGAGTTATTTAAAGTGTAACCAATATGTTGTAAAGTCTTTTGAAAAGAAGAAATTGGTGAAATGGTGCCTTTTCGCAGTCGTGACGTTGGTGTCACCTATGATAAACACATCATTTCATACTATCGCACACCGTTGACCAAACCATCGAAGACCCCAATCGAACTGTGTTTTGTCGATTACCAACCTATAGCATTACGAGCCAGGTACTGTTCATATGAATAAACATTCGAGAGAGATCAACCGTTCAACAAGCGCAAAACGCGGAAAATGAAAATCCACGCGTCTGTTTTTTTTCCGGTATGCTAATTAGATTAAGTGAAGATGAACTGAGGATGAGAAAACAAATGGAGCCTATGAAACCTGATACTAACTTGAAATTGATTTTTGATTGAAAAATTGGTCGAATTCTTATGAGATCACGATAAGCTACACGATCCAATTTTAACTGTGAATCAGCAAGCACACAAAAGGAAGTCATGATTAAAAATGATAAAACACTTGTGAATACAACAGTGCGATATATGTACCATCAACTGGGTAGAAATTATATAGAAATCGTTTGACTATAAAACATCTTTTATACAAATTAGAAAGCATACAAAACACTATAAAATCTATTGTTTCTACATTCGAATCAGAAGAGTATAAAGGTCTCCTAATGTCAGAAACAGAAGCGAATCCTGATACTGTATGCCAATTTATGGAATATAACAGGGTCGTGAATGTACTTTAGAATATTTGACAAGACGCAGACTAAGTGACTCTATTGGAATGTTAAAAAAATTAGTTTTAAAATTCAAAAAGTTTAGGTGACTGGATTAGAAACTAAAAAAATTCCCCACTAGAGTGATCAACGCTGAATGAACCAGTTATGATATCACAATTAGTTGAAGAGAATAGGAATATCATCCTCATCGTTCAGTATATTTTTCGCTTGATAACTTTCCACTTCCACATCGGCATTCTGGAAAAGTACCGAACGTATTCTAGGATTGATCCCAATATCTTACCTCTTTTCCGCGTTCGAGGAGCTCTTGTTCTTTCTGTTTCTTCTTGTTAGCTTGAATCTTCTTCATTCTAGGAGCAGGAGATACAAAAAGCAAAAAAAACTTTTATCCATACCTGAAGAACTCTTCTCTTTCCATTTCATCCAACTCAGTGACAATATAAGTCAATGTATTTTCAATACGAGGAATAATAACTGAATATCAAATCAAAAAAGATCTCAAAACTGTGAACTAACCGTGCTCAATGGCATTAACACGTCTATTAGTAACCTTGATGGCTTCATCAAGGGTGATAAAGCAAGTTTGAAGGGTAGCCAATTCTACTAAAAGCTCAATTGCCTTAAAATAACGTTGAAAATCACGTATTGAGGAAAGTCTTACCTTGTTGTAGTTCTTTTTGAGGCGAGCAATATTAGCTCCTCCTCTGCCTAAACCGGTAAGATCGTAAGCATCGGGACCGTCTTGGGAAGCCTCGAAAACTGGGAGGAAAACTCCTACAAATGTATAAAATCAAAAACGAAACGCCAAGCTGAAACCGACCGACAACGTTTTCCTTCTTCATCTTTACGCGATATTGAGCTTGGCTAACGTTTTGAATGACGGTATGAGAGAAATCTCCGGCAGTGAACTTAGCCTCAGCCAAAGAGAAAGCAGCGTCTTTCAAAACCTCACCCATGAGGACTTTGTTCTGAACCCATTTTTAAACAGATTGTCAGAAATTCAAGACTTACATCGACAATCTTGCGAAGAATATCACGGAAACGCATGTTCAAAGCGTCAGCCTTCTTCTTAAGAAGCGAATGTCCTTTTTGGGCTCCCTTCAGGCGAGCCTTCATCAGTGTTTGAGCCCTGGAATAAGGAAAATCTCATATCCTACTCTGGAGGTTTCAAATCAAGGTTTGAAGGGTTATACTCACATACGACTCGGGAAAACTGCAATACGATCTTTTCCTCCTCCAGACATGGTCTACCTAAAGCGTAATTATAAAATTTTAATATTTCAGATCAATCAAAATATAAATAAAATTGATTTCCACGAAAAATAAGTCAGAAACCATTAGTCTCCGCCTATGCTAGAGACCAATGACTAGTTCGCGACGCAGCCGCTTCAGGGTAGCAAACGTTTTAACAATAGAGCAAGCTTCGTACTGCATCCAAAAATAGATAGAAGTCTGTATTTAAACTAGAAACTGATTTCAAAAAAATTTTCAAAGATGAAGTTTATTGTTTGTACATATATATATAGGTGGGTTGCATTATGAAGATGGTCATGCGTACGGCATGAAGTCATCGTTTTGTAAAGCGTTAACTAGAAACTCGAAATAGCGTTTCTTGTCTTCTTTCTCTTTGCTGATCTGAAACAATTAATATTGAAACAAATGAAGATCTTCGCTAATACCATATCAGTATCTTCTTCCAAGTTCTCCAAAGCTTTGTCCAAATCTACATTTCTCGCAATAACTCGTTGGATATCTCTTATTTTGCTTTTAACATCAATTCTCTCAGGAGGTTCATAATCAATTGGAGCACCCATCTGAAAGGTTTCCGTGAGACATGGTATTGAAAAGAAAAACAGACAATAACATCCTTCTTCTTATACTTTGCATCTAATAACAGCTGACCAACAACCTTGGGTAGGTTTCTCCTCATACGACATACCTCAAACAAGGAAATAAACAAAAAACAATGAGAAAATTGACTTACCGACAGAACTTTCTCATCTGCTTCTTGTTCTTTCTTCTGGTAGTTTTCGAAAAGAACCATCAAATCACGCTCTATGAATGAGAAAACGATTAGAAAAATCTCAAAACAATCGTGTTACCTTCATGGTGATTCTTCAACGAGAGATTAGTATCGGAGATTGTATTGTTTTCGGAGGCTTCTAAAGGAGCGCTCATGATCTGAACAGTATCAATAAATTTTTACAAAGAAGCCTTTTTAGTATAATTAACTTTGGCTTCAACTGAGCGTTCAAATTTTTGAAAAGTGCGCCAGTTCGTTGGAGCGCACTTACCGAAGGTCAAGGAAACAAGACATTAGTAATGCAAACCAAAAATGCTCACCTGGTTCAATAAGAAAACAAGGAATAACGGAAGAAAACAATGAATTAACTAATTTCCGAAGAAATATGAGGAAATTATGGAAGTTTAGTGAACGTCCTTAAGCGATATGTCCTTGAAACTATAGGCTATTATCGCCCAGAGTCTTTATTTCTCAAGGAAGACTAATAATATTGCATCCGCTCCGAAAATGTCTACAAATATTCTAATTTTCTTGAGTTCTCTATTCGTATACATACATGCTGAGTAGGTTGTTATCTCATTTTGTCAACTATCACGAATTGTTTAAGGAATGTCTATTGTACATACTATAGAGAGAACAACGAGCTAACTTGCGGGTAATGAAGTTTACTGAAAATAATAGTAGCGATGAAAAATATTTTTAAGAACTGTCACTTGCCCAACACAAAAACCACCTATTGATGATTTGGAGAATGATGGGTTAGATGCCAAGTTACCACGAGGATGGTAAGAGAGACCATATTTGCTTCATTAAAATTCGAATTCATTAGGTACCGCATAGGTGTTATGCAAATCCGGAGAGACACTGCTTGGTTCAATTTGTACAGAAGAAGGGCTGTGGGAAATGGGTATTGGGATTTCTATACGAACATCCCTGAACGAAACTGTGTTGGGTAAGATACTCCAGTCGATGAAATTGTGGAAAATGTGAAAAATAATTTCTCAGTGGTTACGGTTTGCATGCAGGAGAAAACATTCTGGGATCAATAACTGTGAAGGACAAAAAATGCTTTGATCGTCTTGTTTATCAGGTCAGAATTCACAACCATGAAAGAAACATTGCTGACCAAGTATTATCAGTCCCAAGATTTTTTTTTATAGATAGAGAGAAAGTCGACATCAGAAAAATTTGATGTTCACCAATGCCGAAAGTGCATCTTCCACAGTTGCTGGCTAGGTTCGCGACTTCTTCCAGCACAAAGAGAATACTTAACCAACCTGCGAAGTTATTAAACCCTACTTTCCGTTTCTTTTCTTTCCTTCCCCTTGACTGTGGCACAGTGTGTCCGACTTGTTTTGAAATGCATAGCTGTTATTCTTTTCATTGATTTCACGAACTTCGCTTCTTTCTCGAATATCCATTTATTTACCCTTTATTTTCGTCTTATTCGTCAAATTCATTCTTAAAACCGTTTTATTGATTAAATCTTCACAAAGTTCACATGACTGCCACGCGTACCGTCGTTGTTCCTGAACGTGCAGAGTCCAGATCAAGGAGCTCATGTATTCCGTTTACGACCGTAGCTATGTACTCATCGTTGCGCCACGTTTCTTCTAACTGTTTACATAAAGCTTATTCATTCGAACTTTAATGATTTCAAAAATTAATTATCAATTTCTCTCATTCACTTATCGTCAGAATAGAATTGATTTTATATCTTCTAACTTAAGAGTACCGGTATTATGAGAGTTCTGTTCCTAGTAAGCTTGTTGGTACTTTCAACTTGGGCTGCTAATTCCGATGAGGTAAGCTACTGGAACTGGAAGATGAATCATTCTATTATAAATCTATTAGGTTATAAAAAAAGATTTTGTTGATTTGGATAATGCTGGTAAGCAAGCAGATGTTCCACCTTTAGATCAAGAAGACATTGGAGAAAACTCCGCTGTTACATCAGCCACCAAGGTATAAAAGTTTTGAATAAACATAAAAAAGGTTTTTAATCGTTCAAGACTGACGGTGACTTGGACTTCGCTCACGGTTTCTTGGCCAGTTTCTCTGTCATCATCGTTTCTGAACTTGGAGACAAAACATGGTTTATCGCTGTAATCATGTCAATGCGTCACTCGCGACTCACTGTTTTTTCCGGCGCCATTGCTGCCCTTGCATTGATGACTGTCTTATCAGGTTGGGAAGAGGAAATTCTTATGCAAACAATTATGATTTAAAGCATGTCTTGGATGGGTCACACAGTTAATCCCTAGAGCGATCACTTACTACATCTCAACTGCCTTGTTCGCGTTGTTTGGATTGAAAATGCTGCATGAAGGTTATTACATGAGTCCCACCGAAGGACAGGTAATCGTCCCTCGAAAAACCTCAAATGTAAAAGTCAAATATAGGAAGGTTATGAAGAAGCTCAAGCCGAAGTTGCCAAGCGTGAGCTTGATCTTGATGCTGGCAAGTTTGTAGACATGGAAGCGGGTTCTAATGGACGCAATGAGTAAGTTCTATTTTCATTTTTCAAACTTTTCTTCACTCACTGACTCCTAACACTTTTTGCCTAAATTATAGGAAAGATAAACTGTTAAACAGAAAATATAAAAGGTATATAAACGTCCTCAAGGTTCAAAGGGTCCAATTCAAACTACTCTGTTTCCTTTATTTACTTTCCTTTGTTTATACTTGATCCATTCCCATTCTTTAAAAGTTGTCCTTTTCCGAACTATTAGACACCTACTGATCATTACTTCATTTAGAAGCTCTGCTTGGGTCATCTTCTCCTTCGCCTCTCGCATTTTCGTCGAAGCATTTACCTTAACCTTTGTTGCTGAATGGGGTGATCGATCTCAACTTACTACTATCATCCTTGCTGCTCGTGAAAACATAGGTTAGTTACCGAAGGTTGAGTACGGCTACTGAGTAAATTGTGTTTAAGCTGGTGTTATAAGTGGAGGAGTTATCGGCCATGCAATTTGCACAGGAATCGCCGTGCTCGGAGGAAAGTTAGTAGCCCAAAGGATATCCGTCCGCACAGGTACCGCACATCCTAAACACTTCAAATTATCCAATTATTTCAGTTACCTTAATCGGTGGTGTTGTTTTCTTAATATTTGCTCTTTCATCTCTCTTCATTGGAGGAGGGGGAGAGGAAAAGCCTCTCGATGTTTAAACCTGACGTAATGAGAAATCTTCCAAAAGAGCTTTTTTACTCTTAGCCATGTTGGTGTTTAATAGACGATGATCCGGGTTTCTTTTTCTGTGATCTGCAGGATTTTCAAATAACTCTGGGAATTCAGTTTTATCGGTTGGAAAGCTCCAGAATCTTCTATATTTATTACTTTCAAGAACATTTTTTGAAATATTGTAACTTATTGATGTGTAGCCTGTGATCAGAAACGTTGTCTCCAAAACTTCTTTATCCAATACTAATAAGACGGTTCATAGTCGGGGAGAGTTTAGATTTTTTTAGTTCCCTTCTCATTCAGTTTTTTCTGGCTGCATTCATCATTACATTTTACGTGAGATCCATTAGTAACTAATAAACTCTGGTACTATTACTGTTCTATGACAACGCAGTCACTTGAAACGAATTAAACCGACAGACACTCTTAACTAACTGGTCATTCAATCGATATATTCCCTCATTTGGAGATGCAAGGCTGTTGGATAGGCGGGCCTACATCTGCTGCTCTAGGTCCGGCTGGTTGCCTTGTATGGGAAGGAGAAAGAATAAGGCGTGTCCAAGCTTGTTGTATTTGGGTATATCGCCCGATGTCCGGGTCGGATGTCTAACAGCTCCCATGAGCTTTTCACTTTAAATTCACTGTCTTCAACACTGCTAGCCCACAATTCGTTGAGCTTTGACTGAAAAAAAAGATGAACAGGCTCCTAGTATTGAAAGTTGTTTCTCACCTTAAGCAAGTTTCCGTTTTTTCTTCTGGAGGTGTTGTGTGCGTTTGCTATTAGATGTGGGTGATTGGTTTTTTTGGTGTCTTAAATGGGAATACATGCTGCCAGAGATAAACTTAGAGTTTGTTTCTGCAGCTTCAAGCTTCCTCGCTTCGCCGGAGGCTGGCTCATGAAATCCAACACCACTTTTTAGGGAATTTTTAAAATACAATATAAAATAAATCTCGTGATCACCATTTAGCCAGTCTATTTGTTTTCGCGTTGTTGCCGGCTCAGACTACTGATCGGCTGCTGACTGTGCTTGTCTCGGAAATGGTTCCCTTTCTTCTGTAACAGCTCTATCTATTTTCTCCATTCTGTTCGAATGTACTAACGTCTTCTTCTTTTTCGTCCACTTTGTTGTTTTCTATCTTCATTGAACTTCTTCGGAGCAGTTTTCCTGCTTCTCTTCATCTTCAATTTAAAATTATTTGTCTTTGAGCTATCATATGCATGAAAGTCGGTCACGCTTTGATGTATCTTTAACATTGTCGTTGCTCCGACGCGTTCTCTTCTCTCTCAAATGTTCGTATTAATATTATCTTCATGTAGCTGACCGTTTGTTTTATTTTTCTGGCATGACGGCTTCCTAAGCCATTGTGCACAATGCCAACCCTTTTTCATATTCACAATACAATTCAACTGTTATACTTCTTATCTTTCCAGAGTTCCGATCCTCCCAAACTATCAAATGCTCTATAGATCTCACTATACAGCAATCTCATCTGCAGAACACTATTTATCATAAACATGGGGAACCAGCATCCTAGAAAGAGATTTGCTAACCAGGTAAAAGAGCTTTCCTCGAAAATTTGAAATATTTCTCATCTCTTATGTCTACAAGACTACTTACAACGCGCCTACACATTGCGCTCGAAGAACAAAGTTGAACACACACACATCATTTGGAGAGAATTACTTTAAAAAATACTTACTTCTTTTTTACAGGATGAAGACTGTTTGCCCGCAAAAAAAGCCAGATTCGATAATGAGATTCCAGAAAGAAAATACCAAAAAAAGGTTACTTAATCATATTTTCCTTTGTAAATCGAATTTCGTCACTCTTCTAATTGAGTACAACCAACCGATAAGGCGCTACGCTTGAAAATGAAATCTGGCAATTGATGGAATTAGGAAATTGAAATTCATGAAAAGCCTTGAGTACTTGAGCAATTTGAACTTTTTCAGGTTTCGCTGAGGAAATCTGTGGGACGTTTCTCATTCTGTTCACCAACTTGGGGATTACGGAAGTGCTCCAATGACGGTAAGTGGCAGAAAACTAAAAAAAACTTTGTAAGGAATTCAAACACATGCAAATTATTCAATTTATATGCTAAAGTTTCTGTTCAACTCGTCCTCAATCCTTCTTCTTCTACTTCTTTAGAACAAAAACTGGTTGAAAGCTTCGAAGAAGCAAAATGTGTTTCGGCTTAACTTCTTGCCCCGTTTTGGAGCAAAAATATTTGACGAAAACACGATTTTTCTCATAGTGATAAATTATTTTTGCCTACAGTTGCCGCAAAGTTGGTCTCCGTTTGATCTTCTCGAGCATTGACCTTCAACTATAAATAAGACTTAAAGCTCAAGTTTATCGAGAACCTTGATATCCATTCTATCCGAAGCTTATAAATCGAAGTCATAATGCTGTGAATGTCCTCTGACGACACTTGACAAAGCCGTTTTCCTCTTCATTTCATCTCAAACATTCAACTATTGTGAGAATCGCAACTTGTCTGCAAGCTAATCCTCACAATTAGTCAGTTTATGACTTTCAAGCGAATATTAAGTCGTCTGTTTATGGATTTTAACACCATACTATTAAAATTCTATTGATCGTTCTTCTCCCGCAGTAGTCTAAAATTGAAAAAACAAACAAAGAGCAAACTTGAAGACAACCGAAACATCATAGGGCTTGTCAGCAGCTCCATCAGATAAATTGACAGATGTTCACAGGCTATTCAAGTTGAATTCCTTATCGATCATCTTTCCAAATCTGACATAACAATTACCCATCTTGACGAATATATTCCGCACATCAACATTTTTTCAGATGGTTCAGGACTTTCGTCACAACACTTTGCGAACCGCTGTCGTTCTTTAGACGGGATTGGTGAGAACGGTTCACGAGAAGATGATGGCTTCAAACGTCCAAACTCTACCAATTTGAAAAATTACCATCAGACGGCAGGTTCGTCATTTTCTCATCTACTTGTGATTTCTCTGGAGAATGGGAAGTGTGCCTGCAAAGATAGATCTAGTCAATCAAGAAGTTGAAATTGGAGAACTATCTCTTCATTGAGGGGTAGAGAGGTTTAGCAAACCCAAACAAAGCCTTATTATATTATAATACATAATTATACTATTAATTCCCGACAAACAATCTAAACTTATTACAGCAAGTTGTTCAAGACTAACACGGCCCGAGTATCCAGTGCCATGGCTAGTGGCATTATTTTTACCCGAATTTCCTTCAAGATCCGCAGTAAACGAAAACAATTTCACAGTAAGAGAGAGGATTATGATCCGATGTATTAAAGGTTTACAGCTGAGCAACGAAATAGGCAATGGGTCGTTTGGTCATGTTTTCCGAGCAATAAGCAAAAGTGATCCATCTTGTATATACGCCATGAAAGTACTCTTTTTCTACATTACATTTACATCTATCTAAACTTCAGATACAAGAAAAGTCGAAAATATTGGGTCGAAATGCAACATTACAAGTGAAACGAGAAGCTTCTTTGCTGGTAACAATTTATTTAAATTATATAAAAGAAATGCAAGGAGTATACTCCTTGTCGTACAAAAATTGAAAACAACCGATTCGTGCGTGAGCATACTGACAAATGAAGTTTGCCGTCAATAGCTCACGAATGTCCACGTACGATGATGAAGCAAACAAATTATTTAAAACTTTTGCTAATCACCATTGAAAATACTTTTTTAAGCGTCTACTACCACCATATGTATTCGTATCTCGTCTATATGCCACATGGCAGACCCGGTCTAAACTTTTCTCGCTTTTACAATATCCTGTTGGTGGATTGGGAGACCTGTTCACCGTTTGGCGCGAGCATGGAAATATGAAAGAGAGCCAGTTACGGATCTATGCTGCTGAAATAGCTTGTGCATTAGACTTTATTCACCGTCATGGGATAATATATCGGGATCTGAAACTCGAAAACGTCATATTGGACGCTGACTGTCATATCCAAATTATCGACTTTGGTTTAGCTAAACAACTACGTAACGGACAAAGAACCAAAACAATATGCGGAACACTGCAGGTACCGTAAAATACATCTTCGCATGTTACAAAATTATGCTAACATTGTTGAATTTCAACTTTATAGTATATGTCGCCAATTGTTGCCGTGGGAGAGCCATATGCTCATGAAGTAGATTGGTGGTCGTACGGTGTTCTTCTACACATTTTATTTACGGGCCGGTATCCATATCCAAATGCAGAAGCAGTACATCACTCTGAATTAAGGTAACTTGAGACGTGTATTGTTTTGCAGTTCCATAATTTCAGGTTTATCGATTACAGCACTCCATATGGTTGTAGCAAAGCTTTCGGCAATCTTCTAGATCGAGTAAGCGGTCGGAAAAATATGTGAACTGTATTTTCTTCCAGTTGTTGACTACTACTAAAGAGCATCGTCTGGGGACATTTGCCGTTCTCCATGCTCACCCATTCTTCCAGGATATCAATTTTGAGGATGTTGAAGCAAGGAAGGTAAGTATACAACTGATATGCTTGACAACTAAACACTATCAGCTACAACCGGCAATACATTTTGATAACTTACGGAGTCGAAATAGTGATTTTGACGAGAAGAGTATTTTGGACGGTGAAGAAAACTGGAGAGCTTTCGAAGAGAAATATGAGGTAAACACTAATAATGAGGGAGTACTTAAATATCAATTTCAGTTCAATGATTTTGCCTGTTTCAGTGATTCACTTTGAAAAATTTTAATTCTAGAAAATATAATTTGAGATAATAAAGAGTTCTGAAATGTAGGAGCTTGAGATCAATACATGAGGAAATTCTTCAAAGTACAAAACCCGGTGAAATACTTTCAACATCTTTACGGAATCTCCGAAATAGTTCTGGGATACGACCTTGTTTGTTCCTAAAAAAAATTCTGTACATATGATAGCTAATTTGAGTTCTCTGACATTCCATAAGCTGAAAGAAGCTGTTCCGCGAGTTTGCTACATGGATGCTTGGGTTGAAACAATTTAATCCTTATCACTGCTCTGAGAAGAGTCTTCTCAGCCTCCTTAGGGCTGGAAAAATGAAACAGTTATATCCAAACAGATTAAAATCACTTTTCTAATCCGTAAACACACACCAGTCGCAGTAGAATAACAGCTGAAAAGAGTATAGTGCAAGCAGCTTTGTGATTCATTTTCTTACTTTGATCTGGATGTAAAAACATTTTTCTGACTTCCATACCTTTCAAAATATCAAATAAAAGAATAACTTTTTCCCCCTTATCTTAAACAGGAGTTATAAGTGGCTGGAAATGGAATCAAAGTTTCATTACTCAAGACTCTGTGTAGAAGTTCTTCTTGTTTCTTATCCCATTCTACACTGCCTTCTTTTAAAATTTTCTGTCTTCTACAGATTCTATACTCGTTATAGGAGTTGATATATCTGATCTGAAACTCATAAGTATTACTGAACTGTATATTTGGAGCGATGCAGTGACAGGTCTCATTAATCAGTATCAATAACACTCAGCTCTCTATCATATGACTCATTTGCAAACACTTGGAAGTGAACCACATAACTCGGTTGCTCAATGAACGTATTTCTGGTCTGAACTGAACTTCAGTACGAGTTACACTAAAAAAAAGAGCAAAAAAATTGGAAAATTCGAAATATGAGTCAGTGTTAAAAAGAGTAACTCAGAAGGAAGGCAGCATTGAGGTAGCTTTCATCAGAACTGTATGACGTGACCTTTTATCATATCATAGTCACTATGGCCAGGATCGAACACGACCGCTCAGCACCAAGCGGCGCAAATACGCACTTGACGTATGGTGAGGCCACTCTCACCCGCGACCTTTCGTGTTTAATACTCGCGATAGAACGCTGTGTGCCACCCCAATGCCATCATCATTTGCCGAAAAAAGACCGCTGTTCACCAATCTACTGAGTAAGAATTTCGAAGATGGAGGATAACGACAGTAAGTTTCTCAACTCACAACAAGAACTATCATCAAAATGGAGGAAATAGTATAAACAAAACAAAAAACTCACAACAGGAGCTGGTTCTACAAAAGATTCCGCGTCCACATCTGGTGTTTTACAACAAACACACTTGCAGTTGAATGATAGAAAATCCTGAACCAGCTTGAAATGATCAAAGGAAAGTTAAATCAAACCTTTCTTTCTTCCATGGGAGAATAAAACCGACTGACACCGTAACTATCGAGTAACTCCTCTCCCTTACTAACTCCCAGGCTGACAAAAATGAATGTGTCATTGACGAAGCTGAGAAAAATGACAGTTAAGTGGATTAAACGAACTAGCGAAACATACTAACTATGAACGTTAGGCTTACACGAATGATTGAAGATAGCTGAAATAGGGAAAATACCTGAACCACTTGGGAGGTTTTCGGAACCTCTGAAATTATATACAGACATGAGGGAAACAGTTTGAAATCACATTACCCAGCTAACGAATTCTGAAGTGAAAATACGGTGTGAGCATTCACAGTAAACCTCTTGCATAAAGCAATAGCAGCTTTCTTGTAAACTGACTTTCCAACTTTGGACCAGACTGGATGAGTCTGTTAAGGATAGTTAACCGAAAAATAGGTGAATAGAAACTACCTGAGAGAGATGCTCACTCACTCTATCGGTGATTTCAGCAACTACTTCAAACCCATCATATGGGCCTTCAATTAGACTCATTACAGAGCGAAAATCAGAGGTTTGAAGCTTAGGAGCTTTTCGGTATTCTCTCATGCTGTCATTATACTCTGTTGATACATTTGCTGAGCATCTAACTTTTTCTACTACCTTCTATCTCCTTTTCGATCTCAAGTGGGCTGTAAGTCAGGAGTGTTCGTAGCACAAGCTTATATAAGCCCAATTGCGGTAAGACATCCTCAAATGGTTCTTCATAATCAGCATACTCCTCTACATATTTGTCGTAACAGTCTACACATCTAAAGCAGGAAGTCCTTTTCGAGACATCATGTGAGCCTACAGATTTGTACCCTCTTTGAGGCAAAGTTTACAACACCCAGAATTGATGTTTACTACGACACCTTTTTCAATGCAAACGATTTGTCCGCAAGGTATATGCTCAGTTGCCTAAAATCTTTCTAACGGATTGCCTAGGAGCGAAATTCAAACTCTTATAAATCTTCCCCGGATACTATCATAGGCTATTTCGGCAGATTTTGTTAGTTGAGGGCAATCCGGACTAGGAATGAATCTTTTCATGTTCTGAACGAGAATAGTAGTTTCCAACACACAATCCAAAATTCAAATAGTGTTGTTCAAAAATACAATCGGAAGAAGACGGATTCAAAGTTCAGACACGTTTATCGTACATGGGAAGGTGAAGAAACAACAACGGGATATACATTGTGAAACAAAAACATTGAGAACTTTTAAGCATAAAGAGAACCATTCTGTTAATAAATAAAAACGACTTAATGATATTATCCTCCGCATCCTCGGCATCCGCAGTGAACACACTCGATTACACGATCAGCATCTAACTTACTTTTCGGCACACGGCAGATACAATTTGTTCCGAAATTGGTATCGCGAGCTTGAATGCACCTAAAAATTTTTTTTAAAAAAGGATTAGGGTGATTGGACACTAACCGTAGACAACATAAGTTCTCGTAGCCTTGCTTCTTCCATTTAGCGATCAGTAGGGGATCAGCAATCTTTACTTGAATACAAAAATCATACAATTCCTTAGAGATTTCTTCTCTTTTATAATAAAGGTCATAGATGTAGCGACTTCTTTGATGGTGAATCCTGCAAACATGAGTAACTAACAGTTGATAGTAGAAACTGTACTTGAAAATAGGCCATAACGATTCATTTCTTCTTTTGCCTTCATGGGGCTCTGTCTCGGCTTCTCTCATTTTTTGTTCAAACTCTTCCAATGTTGGTTCAATAATATCCCATCCCTCTGGAGGCTGCTTTCTACTTCTTTTGAGTCTTGCTTGAAGTGACATTGTCTGAAAAATAATTCAAATTCACAGAAAAGATGAGAAAGCAAATATACGAAAATGTCGCGAATTCAAAAAATGGGACTCTTGCGGACTTTCATCAGGAAAAATAGATGCAGAAAAATAATATTCACATAAAAATGGGCATATATATAGTAGGTTAGTAAGGAATAAAGTAGAAAAAATTAATTAAGAGTTTCGAAAAAAGCAAGATCTGAAGTATGCAAAAAGGTCGCTCGATTCGCCATCTTGCGTCTATTAAAGGACTGTGAGACCGGTCGGCGCGTATATTTAATTTTTGAGCAGCAGTCTCGTAGCTTGATCGCTGTTGGTTATATGCAAATCGCAATACATCTCCCATACTCTGAATATTCAAATTGTCCAGGAGATAAAGTTGGTTTTTGTTTACCAACGGCATTGAAATGTCGGAGCCTGATAGTGGGTATCCCACGCCACGCGATGATATAATAGACAATAATGTGAGTTAGCTGAGAACTGCTAAGCGTCATGTAATTTTTAAGCTCGATCAAGACATAGAACTAACTCCTATCAAAGAACAAAGGCTACCTGCATCTTCTACACCGTATGCCGGCTCCTCAATTCGTAATTTGAATGATGTTTTTCAAGAAGGGTAGGCTTTGCAAAGTAAAACATGGTCAATTTCACCTTTCAGACTCACACCTATTAGACGTACTCACGAGGAAAAACGTTCAACAGGTATTTCCTAGTTTTTCATTCAATCCACACTGAGTTTATGTTGAAGAGGAAGCTAAGAAACTTATTGAATTAGTACGCCATAAAAAACGAATGATGGAAACGGATCAGGTAAAGTGTAGTTTGGTGATACTGTAACGCTTCATGCATTAGAACGTCAAAGAGCAGTTGTCAAGAATCGAAGAATTGGTTAATGAAAAGAGTCGAACTATAGAGGTTTATAAACAACTATTCATATTTGAAAGTGTTAGTTTCAGTCCTTGGAGAATCAACTGGATTCTTTAAATCAAGAGAAAGAATGCATGCATGATAAACTGAATGAAAGTCAACAAGTAATCGCGGTTACTAATGTAAATTTGGAGGCGAACTCAACCGAGTTAGAGGTTGGATACTAGAAATGCGAAGATTGAAGATTGATAATCATTCCAGGAAATTAGGAAACATTTACATCAAACCATAAAAGAGATCAATGAACTCAAATTGGTATTCAAAGAAAGAAGTTCTACCCAAACAACTGAAAAATTTTAGGAAAATATTGAGAAAACCAGTGAAATAGCTTTGCTTAAGCGAGTTATTGGGGCGCGTGAGGAAGAAATGACGAAAATGGAATCGAAAAACTCAAACCTGGAAAACGAAGTACAGCAACTGAGGAACTGCGAAACTCTTTTGGCTGAGGTAAGGAGACTATTAACTGTCGTTTATAATTAAACATATAATAGTCTGAGAAAAAGGTGGAGACTGTACGGCAAGAGTACTTGTCGCACGAAGCTAAGTTAAGGAAGGAATCGGAAGAAAGTCTTTTCTTACTGAAAAAACAAATAGCTGATCTCAATACGGTTGGTGATACATATGATCTTCGCTAAAAACTGATTTTTTTAGGAAAGAGATGATTTGATTGAGGGTAGAGAGAAATCTTCGAAGACATTGCTGGACAATCGGCAAAGAGAGATTCAGTTCCTCGAAGAAAACGAGGAGCTCAGAAGACAGTTAGCCAGTACTGATGATAAGGTTTGTTCTAACATTAAATCAGATTCTCAGTTTTAATTTCTAGTATGAAAAACTTTCTCAAGAATATAGATTATTACGAAGTCGGGAAAGCGATCTCCGAGCTGCAAGGGAGAGAATGGACGGAAGGTTGTCTGAAGTTCTCAAAAGTCAAGAAGACTTGGAGGACTTGAAAAAGAAGATGACTCGGTTAGAAAAAAAGAATAGTGACCTCGAAGCAACTTTGAAGCAGAAGGATTCTTCTATAAATGAGCTAGAGGTGTGTCATCGCTTAGGGTTCACTACTAAACTCGCATATAGGAGAAAGTAAAAGGATACGCGAAAAAAGTATCTATAATAGCGGAAGACTTGAGAAGAATGAGCGAAAAAAACAAGGTGAGTTATACGATTCAAATCATGATCAATGAGTGGATTGAAGGATCTGCAAGGCATGAATGATGAACTTATCGGAACCAACATAGAGCAGAAAACGAAAGTATCGGAACTGTCCGGTAAACTTGGAACTGTAGAAAAGTCGGAATCGATCAAGTTTATCATGTTCATCCCTTATTTATAGAGCCATAAAAGAAACTCAAGAAGAATTACGCAAATCACAGATGGAAAACGAGAAACTAGCTCATGACCTGAGTGAAGTAACGGGAGAGAAGAAAATAGTGAGCTTACCTCAGAATGATACGGACTCTTCTTATCTTCATAGATGGCTGATAAATGTGGTCGGCTCCAGGAATTGGAAGGAATCAACACGAAATTGTCTACTGAATTGGCCTATCTTCGGAAGGTTTTGTTTTCTTTCATATCAACCATGATATAAAATCATTCATTCAAGGAAGTTGAATGTCAGAAGTCGCCGGAGGAATTTGAGACTATTGTAACACAGCTTGCCTGTTCAGAAGAACAGAATCGGAAGCTTCAAGAAGATATCATACAGTTAAGACTGAGAGAGGTTAGCCGTATCTGTTTCTGTGAAAACATATCCGTGTTCAGGATGAAGTTCGGTTAGGTTTAACCCAAGTCGATTCTCTGAAGTTTGAACTGAAGGGACGTGAAAATGAGCTGAAAAAGCAGGAGGAGCAACTGGTCTGTTTTTTTAATTCAAGTCTCTCAGTGACATTTATCCTCACAGGTTAAACTCGAGAATGATCTAGTCGCTATAAAGCATGAGAGAGATATGATGATCCATGAAAGAATCGCTTTAGTAAACGAGTTCGAAGCTGTTCGAGTAAGACAAGTGACTTTGGAGTTTTATTCAGTTGTATTTCAGGAAGCACATGAAAGCGAAAAGTCGAAACTTCTTGAGGACATTGAAACTCTCAACTCTCGTTTGATTCAACTTGAAGCTTTAGATGGTTATCCTGGTAACAATAGTTTCAAAATGTTAATAATAACAGCTGCAAACAGGCCAAATGTCTTTTGATGCGATGAACAGAACAGTCTGGGATGTTGTACCAAAACAAGTACGAGGCGTTCTGGAAAACTTAAAGAAAGTGAGTGAGACGCTTCTGTATGAAATTTATTTGGGAAATCAGGACTCAGCTGAAATTCGGAGCATAGTGGATAAAATGCAGAAGATTAATGTCGATGTTTCTGATAAATATGGTAGTATCCATAGCTTAAATGCTGAACAGTTCTCGCGACCTCAGAGCAGAGCAGGTTTTCGCTTCGATCATAGGCAATTCAAACTTCATTATTTCAAGGTAGCAGCACCTCTACTCTAGTCGGAAGGAATATTAAGCTGTTCGATGAGCTCATACAGTCTATGAACGACATTGATCTGGTAGACTTCTTATATTCTTACTAATTATACAATTTACTTAAGACTAACTGCGAAGATGGAACATCACAAATACGAGGTTTTGTAATCAAGTTCTTAAGGAGCGTTGCTTTCGAAACTGAAACGAACGAAAAATCGGTAAGCTGTTTCCTCTAGAAGGTCAACTGAACTGTTCCAGATTCTTCAACTTTTGGAAAGTACAAGCCGTGAGTTAGAGAGAAGGTCTCAACATCTGAAGAAAGACATGGTTCTACTAAGGGAACAATTGAGTGAAGTAAAGGCGGAACACAGGTTCGAATTCTAGAAGAGCTCTTCGACCAACAATTTTTCAGAGAAGCCATTTCTAACCTCAATGATCAACGCGTTCATGTGGCAGCATCGGAGGAGCACATCAGATTGTTGAGAAAAGACATTGATACTCGTGATAAGAGGATTATGGAATATAGGTATGTTACTCTGAATAAAACAAAACATTTCATCCAAAATTAGTAATGAACGCGACAAATTAACTTTCAAACAAAGAGAGCTCGAAAGAGACGCTATGGAACGGACAGAAGAGATGAGAAAGATGAACAATCTTCAAAGAGAACTAATCATCGAAGTTGAGGTAGCGTTTTTTCTGATTCTGTTTTGAAAAACTAATTGCAGGCTTTCGTATTGGAACGGGAGACGATTAGTATGGAGCTCAAAAAGCGAGAAGATGCACTAATTAAGGCTCTCGCAGATATTGAAGAGTGAGATACTATCAAGGCGAACTAAGCAAAAAGTCTTTTCAGTCTTCACAGACGGCTGATTTTAACCGAAGATTCATTATCCGAATGCACCACCAATTTGGAATCCCGTAACGCCACTATCACAAGCTTGGAAGCGCATAGTAATAGACACATTTGCTATCTATATATAGAATGAGTTTTTTCAGTCAAAAACATCAATCGGAAGATGCAACACGAGTTGCGAACGAAAAAGTACAACCAAGAAACTATGGAAATGTGTATAAAGCTATATGAACAAGAAGAAGAATATGTGAAAAGGTTACGACGGCGCAATGCTGAACGACAACAAGTGATAGACGAAATATTATCTGGGAAGGAGATGGGCGAGGTAAGTCGGAATCAAAAACGCAAGCATGAGTACAACATTGTAGAAAACTAAGCGGAAATTGAATCGTTTTCAACAGGAGGAGAGGAACGATTCTGAAGATGAGCGAAAACATCACGATGCATGGACAAGTCTGTTTCAAAAACGACACATCGAAGATAATGTCTTGAAAGAGCGTAACGAAAGCTCTCTAAGAAAATCTGTGAGCACGCGAAAAACGTCAACACCAAATGAAACATTAAACTCGGTTATCAACCTGGATTGATAAGCCGCGTCAAGTTTAAGATCTAATCTCATATCCAAACGTGTACATATGTATTTAAAACACGCTACTTACTAATATTAACATTAATGTGAAACATGATTAAACATTGGATCGAAGAAGTTCGACCTCCAATAGAACGAATGTAAAGTGCCAAGCTTGGAATAAATTTAAAATTTTTTTCATAAAACTCTTTAAACTAAACTTTATCAGCTCTTCAAGCAATAAATTGCCGAAAGTATATTGGTACTGTTGGCCCCTTTCAGTTGTTGCTTTAGCCATCATGAAACGTTTGGTACTTGCTCCAACTATGGATTTCGAGAAACCCGAAGGTCTAAGCCGGCGTGGTGCCTAGAGAGGAAACTCATTCCGCTCGAAGTACATCTATATTTATATTCACAAGGATTTGCTTCTCATTTCCAGACCACGTGCGAAGAATAATGAAAAACGTGAATGCAAATAAGAAAATCGAATCATATGATATAGTTTATAACAGCTATCATGATCAATTATTATTATTACTATTAATATATGTTAAAGTAGATCACAATAATCATAAGCCAGCTGGATGTAGCACACTCATGCCCGTATTTCTGTACAGCCTATGGCTTGCCATTTATTTGTTCCACACGAGAATACTCTATGAAAGCCTCAAAAAATGTGTAAGCCACTGCGGTTGGTGAATTAGAAAACCTGTGAGATTTCTTTCAGAGCTGCAGATTCCGGCACATTGTTCCGACGATCATTGCGACGACGATGAATCGGAGTCGAGACAATAATTCTTTCTTCTATTTCGTGCATTGGATCACAATTTAAACCTTCTTTACATGGCACAAAAACTGGAGCTGCTCGTCTAGAACGAAAACAAGTCAAAAGTATGTTTTTGAACAAATTACCTTGCAAGAACCCACTCAAAATCTATACGCGATGTATAAGGATGCTCTTTAATATGCTGTAAACATGTTATCCTATTCTCAGGATCTAAGCAGATCATCTGTTTGAGGAATGATATCAAATCATTGGGCCAGTGTGCTGGGAACGCCACAGTCGACTGTTCGATTATCAATAATGTCTAGAATATGGCCAGTCAGCTACATATTTTGATCAGTGTGCAACCTGTTCAGGTGTATGTTGAGCATTGAACTCGTATGTTGTCCGTCCTCTCATCATTTCGTAAAAAGTGATTCCAAGAGACCACCAATCAACCCGTTTGTCATAACCATCTACTATGTTTAAAACGCATTGAAATATCTCAGGAGCCATATATGGTCGAGTTCCTAATGGGAAAAAACCGTTCGAATTATTATAAGCTGTTTAAAGTACTAACCAGAAAAAGATGTAGCTAGCTTATCTTCTTCGAGTTGTGTAGCCAAATTCAAATCGGTTAAATGCGCATGTCCTTGAAGAGAAAAAAGTATTTGGATAAGTGCAAATCGATACCTTGTTCATCTAAAAGAATATTTTCTGGCTTCACATCTCTATGAATTATGTTGTTCTGATGTAGATAATCAAGTGCTATGGCCACTTCGCATAAATATAGTTTGGATCTGAAAATAGAATTTAATTAAAATGCAACCGCTCTTCATGTCTCGCTTGGGAAAAATGAGTGAAATCTATTAGTCAATGGCACATGAGCATGTGGGCAAATTAGCATACGACTATTTCACACTAATTTGAATATGGTTAGGCGTTTGTTTTAAAGAAGTGGTCAGCAAGTGTCTCACCGATCTTCTGCGAATTTCCCTTGTTGCCTCAAGTGATAACGTAGATCTCCACCGAGTAGTAAGTCTGACATCATATACATATAATCTTTGTCCTGAGTCAAGAAACAGTTTATAAATAGACTGATAAATCATTGATACCTGGAAGGTGTACCAGAGGTTCACAATGAATGGATGGGAAATCTTGCATAATAAGCTCAGTTCTCGAATAACGTTTGGCGCAACACCTTTTTCGATGCAACGTCGTTTGTTCATATATTTGAGAGCGAAGAACCGTTTACTGGATCTTTGCTGAACTATGCAAACCTGCAATTGATATGAAGGTTACTGGAAGATAAATGTTGAGCAAACTTTTCCAAAAGCTCCACGGCCTATACTGCGAATAATGCTGAACTGCTGGAGACATGGTTTCGTATCAGTGCATCGGCTGCGGCCGCATCGAGCTCCCATGCGATGAATACATACGACGAGAAAATGCTGCTGAAAATTAAACATTAAAAGGAATATATCGCCGGAGGAGTTTTAAAATGACCAACTTTACGAAACGATGGATTAGACGACAACATAAGAACTTCATTATTTTAAAAATGAAAGCTTGGAAAAGAAAGAAATGGCCGGCATGTCACTTTAATAGGAAAACATAAAAAGACAGAAGAGCATCTTTAAGCGAAGTTCCGAAGTCCAAATGTTCAATGTGCGAGTTGAAAGAAACGTATTATTTATAAATTGACGACATCAGGCTGATTATGTATTAGGATACTCCACAGTCAGGCATTATGACGATTGACTCGAATTCAGAGACGAAAGCTAAGTGATGAAATATAAGAGCTTATTGAGATGGACAGCTAAAATTAGAAAAAAACTTGAGATCTGAGATGGTTTAGACAAGAGTAGCAGACCAACCAAGTCCAAGTTCAATCAAACGCTTCTCTAAGCAAGAAGAAATAATCTACAAAAGGCTTGCTCGGAAAAGACGATGTGAATAAAGATTTGCGTCAAACATTTTCCAACAACAAAAAGAGCACGAGAACAATGGCCGTGATGACAAGGATATGAAAATTCTAGAATAACCAAAGGACATTGAGACAAAGAAGAAGGTTATATGGAAAATGAAGGTTTTTCTCATTTCATAACAGGTTAGAGAGCTCAGCTACAAATATCAGAGAGGAAGTTAGAAAGGCAATCATCCAACTAACGCATTTAAATAAAGAGAACTTCCATCTTGAGACATGCCCATCTACTTCTTCTGTCCATGTTCATATTAGCGTCTTCACTAAGGACTTTAGCTTTAAAACTTGAAAGGAAATAAGCAAGAGATGAGAGTAAGAAACCGAAAGAAGTGGTTGAAAAGGAGGAAGAAAAGAAGAAGATAGAAGGGGGAAGCCAAAGAAAGAAGAGAGCATACGAACGAATGAAGCAGCTATGGCTCCCGACTCCAGAAGCACTTTGATCAGAGTAAGTTGAGGAAAAAAGAGGAGACGGACAACTGAGTTGAAGGCTTGCGCGAAATGTTCTTAAATTGGCTCTATTATATATAAGGAAACGACTTGAAGGGAATCAGGCAGATATATGCGTGTCTGAGTATGTGTGTGTGTGTGTTTGTGTGTATGTGTGTGTGTGTGTGTGTGTGTTGGCGAACACGCGCATGTATATCTGAGTGAGTATTTGTATGTGTGTGCAGAATGTTAAGACATTATTTGTCCTTTTTCGTATGGTGAATTTCATTCGAAGGAAAGATTGTCGTTCATAGAGAATAATTCAGCGTGAGAAAGAAAACATAAATGCCGAGAAGAAAGGCTGAAATGTAGGGGATAAAGAAGAAAAACTAATTTGTTGTCAAAACTCTACACTAGTCGCACTACATATTAGGCAATCACGAGAGGAATTGTTCAAGGATAAAAGCACATTTTGATGAACTCACAAACAAACAACGTATTTAATTACGTTTTACTCCTTCCCCTTTCGTCCTCTACTATCGTATTTTCCTTCTCTCTCATGCCATGTTTGCGTATCTCTCTGCTTATGCCCAAAATTAGTTCGAAATTTAAACACCTCTCTTATTTCCTCGCTTGAAGTCTTAAACCATTGTCTTATAGCCATTAGACATCAAGTCATTCATTCCATATGCATTTTCAGATCAACTCTTCAACTTGCGATTCAATATTCTCACAATGAATTGCTCTTTCACTTCTGAACTCCGTGAATGCTGCAGAGACCTCAGTTGTCAAATAGGCATTGGACCTTAAAGAAAGAATAAACTTACTCTCATCCGTATATAACACGGTCTTTAGCATTTCCCGTTTGTCATTCTAGAGCTTCAAGCCAAATACTCAGCAAAACATGCATGGAAAACGTGGAGGCCTTGATTATTCGACGAATGGATAAGTGTGTGTTTGAAAATTTATAAAAAAAAATATAAAACACATTGAGCAGGAGAAGAGATGAAATAGGAGAAATTCAACAGACTAGTAGCAAGCAGATTCTCAAGAGCGTAGAAAGAACATAATGAAAATATATAAACAATGTGAAAAAAGAAAGCAGATGACGGAACCTCATCTTTGTCTTGTCTGACTCTCTCACTTCGCATGTTCTTCATATTTTTTGTCTCTTCCGTTGAAGCTGACTGGGATTAAGGTCGACACAAGATAACATTCGGCAAAGATGACATACACAATTCATCAGACTTTCTGCTTTCCTTGACGCTTTCCGTGTATGTCCAGAAGTTCGAGCAAATGCGCACTCTTCATAGTTAAGTTATAAATGTGCAGCTAAGGCAACTGGGTCATTTCGCATTCATTTCTCCAAACGAACGAACCGGAAAATGATTTTTCGGTTTCTCCTACAAACAATATACGCAAATGCCTGAACACACATCCGAGAATAGCACGAAACTTGAAATTCAGTACATATGTGAGTTAATTTGAACATGGCAAAGTTCAAGTTACAAATATCTCAAGTACTAACATAGTTCAGCTTATTCTTATGTACGTAGCAACTTTGTTTGGAACAAATAGTAATTTCTGTTTCTGCGGCAGATGGTTCCACATGCCGATAACGGCGACAATCTTATTATACGGACCCATGAAAGCTGACGTAGTCTTGTCGTCATCACTGTCTGCCATAAGGGGTCATTTTCATTCTTAGCAGTTCTACACACACACAGACACACATACGTATACACACAAAAAGCTGCCAAAAAACAGATTCAAAACATAGAAATGACAACAAACCTAAGCAGTTCCCGTGGGAAACAACAAACTGATGATAACAGAAGGAAGCGAATTCAGCTCAAGAATTTTATAATTTTTTTTTAGCTAATGCATACGCGTCGCCAGATTTGGCGTACTACTGAGGAGCCGTAGAAGAAGAAAAGACGAGCAGCAAAGAGGAAACGAAAGAATAGAGAGACGGATAGTTAGCTTATTGACGCAAATAATAAGAGAAATGCAGAATTGGGGGAATTCCATAAACTATGGAATTCGGGTAAAGCTTATAAAAGTTATTATCGTCAGAAACTGCAAGTCATGCCCGACAGTCTACTTCATGAAATGAAGCAGAGGGGCAACAACATCCGCTCAACGTTGCATTAACAATCTGTCAAAATCGTAGAATCGTTGATGAAGCCTCAGGAGAACTGTTATAAATGAAACAAAAAAATAGATATTCAAAATTCTACAAGCCAAAGGCATACTTAAATGGCGAAACAATTGCCGTTGTGCGCTCCATTGATAATGAAAGTGCGCTCGAATACCGATATCCATTTCTGTATGTTTTCGAGCCAGGAGCGGTTGTTTTTAAAGAATTTGATTGTACGAGAATCGATGAGCCTACAAGGTTGTCCTCTTCTCGTGTTTATATCATTCATTAAAATGATGCTCAGTGAGCTATCACATGCTTTGCATAATGATGACTCAAGCATACTCATAGAAAACTTATGATAGAATTGTAACTTGCTTCATTCTTTCACACACATATTTATTTTCATAAAAAGAAAGATTTGAAAGAGAACAGGTCTTGAAGAGAGCGTGAGACAAGGATACAAATCTTTGTGGGAAGTAGTTATTCTGATTGTAATTGTTCTCAAATCTTATGTTTTGTCAATATAAGAAGATAAGACAAGGAGATAGTCTGGTATTAAGATTTGAACATGTTTTAAGTTAATATTGTGATAGAGCATAAGCGAGAATCAGAGATGGATAAAGCCAGCTGAACAACAACCAAGATCGATATGCTACTCGCTTAGCTCAGAGACAGCGATGTCAGCTTAACGTTCTAAACTTTATATTTGGAAACGACTGATTTTGAGAAAGCGCTTGCACGTTAGCGATGTAATTGAGAAGGATTGAAAGGAGGACCAGAAACGGTGTTTGAAGTTTATAGTAGGCAGGAGTTCCGTATTAAAAACAGTTTATAGTCTGATTTCTAATAAATATTATACAGTTTGGAGTTAATAATCTATTACAGATACAGATTTATACGAGGACTATTTTTTTAAAATTCTAAACCGAGATGCTAACCTTAAGAACATCAGCTTGCACTTGTCTTATAGTATCACAAGGATTACTCTGTGATTTTCACTATGTATACCAGATTGTGAAATGAAAACCCTTATAAACATCAGGAAAACTACCAGTAAGTAGAAACACAACAAAAAGTATCAGTAGTACTCCATGATCAAGAGGAACTTGTTGGCCTCTCATCCAGAAGATGAATATGCATGACAGGCTTTTGACGGCGAACCTCATTGCTACGCTTAACGGCAGCTGGGGTTGGTCTTTTTATTTTCTGACCAGTGATCACCCTTTTAACCTGCAAAAGAATAATGAAATAACATCATCTATGAGTGAATAACCTCTTCAGCTGATAGAGTCTCATATTCTAACAAAGCTTCTGCCAACAGTTGATGTTCTTTCTGGGAATTTCAGAATAATAGAGAGGATCGCACAGGGACCCACCTTATTTTTAGTCAAAACAGCCTTAGCTCTATTATAGCTGTCAAGTAGAACTTGATTAATTTCCTTATCGATGGCTTCCTGTGTTTGAGGACTGAGCTCATTTACTTTCACCAGAGAAGAGGTGTTATCTTCAGCAGTATAATCTCGGAGGCCGATCTAAAAAAGTGAAATTGCTGAGGAAGAAAACTTTTGCAACTTTATCGCTCATTCCGAATGTCTTCACCATCTGCAACGCTAATGATGTAGCTCTTCTTAAGTCATCAGCAGCACCAGTGGTGACCTAAAGGGTGAGTATGGATAGAAAACTTCCAGGAAGTTAACTTACCATGTCTTCACCAAATACAAGCTCTTCAGCAACTCTACCACCCATCATAACATCAAGCTGAGCTAACATTTGAGCTTTGGTTAATTGATATTCGTCTTTTTCTGCTAACATAGCAGTATGACCAAGGGATTGTCCACGAGGGATAATTGTAACCTGAAAAATGTATATAGAGGATGACGTTTTATGATTGATGTTACTTTATGAAGCGGTGTGGCATGCTTCGTGTAAAGAGATACAAGGGTATGCCCAGCCTCGTGATATGCTGTGTTCTTATTAGCTTCCTCGTCAGGGATTCTACCTCCAGTTCGAGCAGGCCCCATCAGAACTCTAGGAGAAAGATTAGAAGCATCCTCTCGTTAGAACTGTACCTGTCTTTTGATTCATCCAAATGATACATAGTAACTTCCAAACAGTTATCTGTAGCAGCTTTGAGAGCCGCTTGGTTAACCATGTTTTCTATATCAGCACCAGTGAAACCTGTGGTACCCTGGATATAATCATGAGTTAGATATTAGACCATTGCTTGCTCTGCCACACCTTTGCCAATACAAGCGAATCAACATGAGAACAGTGCACAATCTTTGAAAGATAATGCTCAAATATATCTTGTCTTCCTTTTAAGTCTGGTTTAGGAACAGTCACTCGTACATCAAATCGACCAGGTCGCAACAAAGCCTGAACTCGTCAAACTTCAAAACTGAACCGTATTTGGTTTACCTTATCCAGATCATCAACACGATTGGTAGCGGCTATAACAATCACACCCTCATTTCTATTGAAACCATCCATCTCACTGTAAACATCTACCCATGAAAGGTCAAAATCGTAAACAAACAAACCTCAAAAGTTGGTTAATCGTTTGGTTAGCATAAGGATGAATGCTATTACTGACCCTCTTAGAGCCAACACTATCGATCTCATCAATAAAAATAATGCAAGGAGCTCTGTTAGAAATAAACAATATTACATGACCTCATCCAGCATAAATACCTGGCTTTAGCCTTATCGAAGAGGTCTCTGACTCTTCGAGCTCCTTGCCCTACTAGTACTTCATCAAATTCAGAACCAGAAGTGTGGAAAAATGGTACCTTAACCGAACAATATGAAACTATGTGACATTATATACAACTCACTTGTGCTTCACCAGCAATAGCTCTAGCCAAGAGCGTTTTTCCAGTACCTGGAGGTCCAACGAGCAGAACACCTTTAGGTAAGCGCCCTCCAAGACGTGAATATTTTTCAGGATCACGCAAATATGATACGATTTCTTCAACTTCTAACTTAGCTTCCTCCATCTGAAGGAAAAACTTTGATCATCGCAATACTTATCGAAAACTCACTCCTCGAACATCATCGAAGGTGACTTGCACATCTTCAGGCTTGACTTCCTGTGGATTATTGAAAAAGATAGATCCCAATTGCCGATCGCCTATTCGAACACGAATCTCTAGATAGAGAGAACAATGCGAAATTTTAGATACCAAAAAAATGCAAAAAAAATTTCAAAGTTTTCAAAAATTTGCCGGAAAATCACGAAAACCCACTTCCTGTTAAGTAGAAGAAGAAAATCAATCCAACGAGAAAGATATAAAAACGAGTTAGTGTGTTCGACTTTTTGGCATTGTCGGCAGGTTTCCCTTGTAGAAGACCTTTCACAAATCCGTCCTTAACAAAAAAATTAATATTCCTTTTCACAAAGTTCCGAACCGTATATGTTTTATGTTGGTGATCGGGAAGTTTTTTTAGGTCAGTCTCATATTGTTGGTATCGCATATTTACAGAATCTTCTTTGGGTGACCGACCTAACAAATCTGAGAAGATATTCCATCTAGAGCATTAAGGATAAACAAATCATCATTAACAACTAATGCTCACTTAGCAGGCTCAGGTTGCTTTTGTGTCAACGAGCTTGTTCCCAAAAATGGTGTTTGCGCCTTCTTAGTTCTGAACCCTCTTTGTTGAATGTCTGAAATAGAATTTTCATCATTTTCCGAAGTTGAAAGGTTCTTTACATATTTGCCCACTCGATGGTACGATTTCAACAGAAAGAGAATCTGATAAGACCACACGGCAGCGAGAGCTTCTGAATACCCTGCGGGTACAACAAAACCGGTTTTCTATAGTGAACAGGATCGGTAAAATCAACTGAAAGGTCTGAAAGACTAACGCTCTAAAGCATTGCGAATGACAGAAGTTCCAATGCTTCGAAAGACAGACGTATATGCCGATGGAGAGGATTGAAGTGCAGCTGGTCGAACATTTCGAAACGCTTAATAAGGTACTTTAAATGACGCGACCGGTATGTGGATGATACCTCTGGGGTTTCTAGGACCAAACTGACTTCCTACCCCAAGAAGGGGATTGAAACAAGCAGCTTGCATTTACTTAATTACCTTGAAGAGAAAAAAACTTACACACGATTCATTGAGCATTAAGAATTCTATAAATTGAAGTAATTACAGGGATGAAAACCTTATTAGGTTTCACGGAGAGCTTGTTAGCGTCATAAAATTTATGCGACAAATACAACAATGACAAAACATAATGATAATAACTACAAATTTTGCAAGCATGATACTTTAGAGATGGTGAATGTTAAGGCATCTTGCACTAATAAGACACTAGAAGTATATACACAGAATTCAAGTTGGAGAGCATTAGAATGAGGATCAGATGTTCAGAGATGAAAGATAAACTCGCTATTATATAGGATCCATATAGTTAACCTGATCTTAATTTCTTAACAGAATCCTGTAAAAAAACCGTTTAAGTACACCACTAGAAATATAAAACAGCGAGAAAAGAGGTGAATTAGTAACAGTAACAATGGAGTAACAAAAAAGTGATTACAATGCACAAAAGATAACCGGATAAAGAAAACAGGATCACCAAAACTTGAGGTATATATATTAAGTTTTAACAGAAAGCAAACAGGAGTTTAAACCAAGAAATGTCTGGGGGAGTAAGGTATTGCACAAGATACTTTTTGTGCAGGTAATACAGGGGCTTTCGGATCGAAAGGTGGGATGGTTACTGGCTGAGGTGTGTGTTGTCCAGATGGAGGATCTGAACCAACAACTGAAAGCTCGCGGTCCTCTCTCTTATCTCGGGCAGCTTTGTCGCGATGAGCTTGTACAATCTTGAAACCAACGCAATAATGATAAATTGTAGAATATGTGTTCTAACCTTGAACCGTTGCCTCTCCTCGAACTCTTGGAAGTGATGTTTTTGAGCTATGGTGAGTAGCAAATCAACATGACAGAACTCACAATTTTCACTCGAAGGGTCTTTCTCGACAACAGTACCTTCATCGACAATGTTGTGCCAATTAGGGATTGCTATCTCCTACAATAATACTTATGCCCAAACGTGCTATCAAAAGCACTAACCTTATAGTCAAATTTTTGAGGTAAATGGGCTGTGCCAAAATCTGGTAAGTACTCGTCAATATCATACTGCCTTGATTGCCGAGCACTCGTTGGCATACTATGTCTCCTCCCAATCTTAAATTCATCGAATTAATACAATTCTAGACAGACGGAGAAAACCTTTGTGAGGCCCATTGGGGGATCTTTGCCTTCCCGATCTTTGGGCGGCCTACCACGCCGTCTTCGCTTGTCTTCTTTTCTTTCATATTTTGGTTTCGGCAATGGAGGGGCCTGAATTCAACATTAGGACACACCAAGTAAACTAGGCGTTACCTTCGGCATACAATCGTCATCAGACTGATCAGTATCTTCATAATCACTACTATCATTCCCCTTATTCTGATTTCTCTCCTCGATTCTCATCCTCCGTCGTTCTCTAACAGCACAACGTCTCCATCCATTACGTTGTTTTTCCTACAATACGAAATCCCGAAATTACTATTACTATCTAAGCTAATACCTCCTCGATTTCACGCATGTTCAACCATGGAGAGCTATCAAATGATTTACGTATGGTGCATGAGGGAACCAACGAGAGTAGGGTAGTATACGCTTGCATCCTTCGCTCAATGGGATGAACTTGAAAAGAAAGGCTTAGATTTGATGATTAACAAATTCTAACCTTCAGACAAAGTAATGCGAGGATGTGTTCGCGGGTCATGCCAATCGCTATCCTTCGATGTTGAAGGCTGCATTTGGGAATAGTCAACAGACCCTTTCTGATTTGACATCAAACTATAATTTATGTATGTGGTTTTCAGGTATTATTTTCATACGACACCTGAATTGGTGATGGAAAATTTTTCGTGGTGCTCTGCTCACTAAAGCACGCGTACGCGCACACTCATCTTCCTTGGCTTCAAACTCAGTTTGAGGTAAACTTCTTTCCAGGGTCACAAGCTTAAACACGACAATACTACCTTCATGAAAATTTACAAACATACATCTTGCATATGACTATATCTGTCTTCAAGCTCTGCCACTAAGCGAGCATCAGCCCCACCATATCTCACTTTTTCAGGAGCCCAACGAACGGAAGATTGCAGAATACTGAGAAAACGGAATAAAAAAGATAAAACTAATGAAATAATACTTTTCTGGTTCTTCCATTTCCATGTCTGACAAATCAGTCATTTCATCTACATCTCCAATGGAGGGTAACGTTTTGAGAACTTTTTTGGGAGGCTCATCTTCGCCAAACACATATTTTCTCATATTGTTAGGTAAAGAATCTTTCATTGTCCTTGTCATTATTGCAAGTTGGATAGGAGTCAAACTTTCGCACTAAAACTTCTGATTGAAATTATAGTTAAACTTTGGTAAACAACCTGTGGCACTAAGTATGAAATGGACCCCTGATCTTTAAACCTGCTTATTTTGTCAGCGACTTGACGCCTTTTGCTGACTTCAATATCCTTACGAGAAAGTGGAATGCCACTATAAACGATAGTAAACAATACAATCTATACGAAATATGACACCTTAGAACATTGGATAATGGAACACCATCTTCCTTTTTTGAAGTCATCCGTACGCTGGACGATCCTTCAAAAAAAACAAATGAAAAAAATAAAAATAAAAACCACAAACCGTTCAAGTTTAGCTGTTCAGAGCTGTCTGGTATTAAATCACCCTTAGGGAGAATAGTACAAGTTGAATTATTAGAACTCTGTTCACGAGGTGTAGGTAACGCACTAGACGCTAAGGAACGTAAGTCTGGTGTCAGAGGGGAAGAAAGCCCAGACTTTAAAAAGAAAAAAACAAATAAAAGCAAGAAAAAAAACAAAATACCTCTCTGAGACCGTTGATTTCAACTTGTAAGGGAACCGAAGTGGGTACCCTTTCCATGTTGTTGGTTGTGAAACCGTTGCCGGCTGGACGACCATTGGGGATTGTGACTCTTTTTTCAATAGATTCATCCAATATCGGTGAACCCTCTGGGATAGTGGTAACTTCTTTCTTTAGCAACATCGTGGATTCAGATTTCAGAAAGTTTTCATGTTCCATCACAGTAGGGCTTCGCAACACTGGATGGTACACTGGCTTTAGTCCCATGCAAACAAATGTCCCGTACAGAACTTAACTTGTTAAGCATACTTCGAGTCACACATCTTGGTACTAAAGCCACGTCAAACAAAATCTAAAATGAGAGCCAAAATGATGCAATAATTCAAAACATGTATATGAATATAAAAAAGAGCCGTATGACACAGCACATGCAACAGTAACCGAAATGACGCTCAAAATCAGTAAAATGAAGAAAAAAATCAATAATTCGAAAAACTTCCTTTTTATAAACGAAAGAAATCGCCGCTTCGCAATTCGCGGCGGGTTGCAATAAATGACGCGACGCGGCCGCGCGCGTGGAATTTTTGCCGCGCTCGTTGGTCGAAATGGGTCCCACAGGGAAAGTTTTTACGATATTGCCAAGAGCGCGAGACTTAAATGTTCAATTTGAATATTGTTGGAATATTTAATGAATTTGATTGAATTTTGTGAAAATCTAGTTGTTTTTCATCGTGATTTATTGTTGTGATTAAGAGCTTTGCGGGAATGGTAGCGATGGAAGATGATAGATTAGCAACGGACAGAGACAACCGTTTTATTGCAGAAGGTCTGACTGCAGTAAACCTTCGTTTCTGTATGTTTGCTCAAATATATAATTACACATTTTATTGAAATTATAGTGAGAACAATCGAAGATTTTGAGAATGGCCCTGAATATGCTCCTGAATTCGTTCACCAACATTTCGGGGAAAAGTTGTTAATGAATATGATTTTGTTTAATATATGCAGTTCAGTGAAACAATTTTTGGCTACGAGAACTTGAAGGTTGTCATCAACTACACTGATGCTAACATTTATTTCTATCCCGAAGTGTCCTACGACAAAGATATAACCATAGTTGACAAGGATATTAAGGTATTGGGTGTCAATTGGCTCTTAATACCCGTCATTCAGCCTGATAACGTTATAATGAAACTCCGCGAACAACTCCCAGAAGACCAGATGAATGTAATGGTTACATCGAAACCCGAGCTGTTCGAACATTTCAAAAAGAACGAACAGTTCAAACCGTATGGAACCCTTCAGCATAAATTTGAAAACAGTTAGTTCGTGTTATAAGCAATATGTATTTCCTTATATTCAGATGGAAATAAGTTTGAAATTTACAAAGTTGATAGTTCTTCTGAAGAATTTGATTTCTATTTATCCCGCGTTCAAACTTTAGCACTCTGGTACATTGATGCTGCCCAATATACTGACAACACTGATCCACGATGGGTTCATTACTTCATGTTAGTTTTAAAATTTCAACGTTGCAAAATATCCTTTTGTTGAAGTTATGAAAGTCGTCCAAGCTTGAATGGAGACGGCACGTTTAGTTATGCTCTCGCTGGCTATGCTTCGTTATATAGATTTTATGCATACCCTTCTCTCGAAAGGCCTCGCGTGGCTCAAATTCTTCTTCTTCCAAAATATAGGTTAGACGAGCAGTTTTTCTTGATGAAAGGAAGTATTGTGCAGACGTGGTGGCAACGGGGCAAAATTTCTGCAAGCCATCTATAATGATTTGAAGCTTCAGAAGGAGGTGCTAGATGTAACAGGTATAGATTAGGGTGGGCGGCCTTTGCTAATCGAAATTTCCAGCGGAGGATCCTGCTGATAACTTCATCTATCTTCGTGATTACGTTGATTGCATTAACTGTTTAAAACTGAAAGAATTTTCGGCAGAAAATTTAGCAAATGGCTATTCTGATGAAATGAAGGAAGCAGCCGTTAAGAAATTAAAGATCAACAAAGTAGGACTTCGCTACTAAAGATTGAATTAATTTGTATATGTCCAGCGTCAATCTCGGAGAGTGTATGAAATCCTGAGACTTATGCATACTGATATGAAGAACCCAGTAGCTGCGAAATCCTACAGAATAGATGTGAAGAGAAGGTAACACAATGGTTAATTTGCATTTCGAAACTTCTTTCATTAGACTTGAGCTACCAATGAAAAGGTCAGCTAAAGATTGGCGGAAAATTAACCACGCTTTGGATTCTGAGGAAGTTGCACAGGTGGGTGTCTACGGTAATTCCTTTGTAACCAGTTTCTGATAGGTCGCCGCTGCTCAATTAGATTCCGAAAGGAAGTTCCAACTACTCCAAAGTCTCTACGAAAGTGAAACCGAGGTTTATAAGATAACAATTAATAGAATTAAAACGTTTCCAACCATTTGACTTACTCCTAAAACTATTATAGGATAGTTTTGATCTCTTAAATGTATCATATCGTTCGAATAAATAGTGAAGTATGAGAAATGTTCACCTTAACGTTGTAATATCATCAATTGTACTTGTCTCACAGGCGATGGTTAATGTACTTAAAAAGAAAATCAGATGGACGAGTTTAATTTTCCTTTTCAACCATATGACATTCAACTTCAACTTATGAGAGCAATTAAGAATAGCATTGAAGCGGGTCAGGTAGGATACTGAGACATGTAGAGGGAGTATTTTGTTTCAGATAGGAATTTTCGAATCACCAACTGGTACTGGAAAATCTCTGAGTGTCCTTTGCTCCACTCTCACATGGCTGAAAGAGAATGAGTGCAAAACAGAAGCTCAGCTCAAAGAGGCTTCTGAATTGAAAGAGCCTGAGGAAGACACTAGTAAGAAAGACTGCCAAACGATTGAAAAGGATTGTTCTTTAGACGTTGATTTTGTGGAATTGTTCAAAAGAAAAAAAGTCATAGTAGATAAGAAAAACGCAGCGAAAGATAGTCTCGAACTGCGAGATAAAATAAAAGAACGAATTCTCAAAGCTAAAGATGGACAAAGCAATATTAATAATAAAAAAAGAAAGTTCAATGAACTATCTACTAATGATCAAAGCTCAAAGACGGATGATGATGTGTGTTTGTTGTTATTTCGTCCCGATTCACAAATTTTCATATTAGGAGGCCGCACCCGATGAATATAATTCTGATGAGGAACTAGTGGAAGACGTTCCTCCAGAAGATATGGCCGTATTGAAAATATTTTACGCATCGAGAACCCATTCACAGTTGGAGCAGTTAGTTGATGAATTATATAAAACAGAGTGAGAACCCAAGGGAAAATGATATTCGAAAGTAGTATAGCTTCAAACCGAGGATAGTTACAATTGGATCTCGTCAAGTGCTATGTGTTAATGAGGCCGTTCAAAAGCTGAAGGTATCTCTACTACGCCTTAAGTAGAAACATAAACTTTCAGGTTGGCCATCTTATCAATGAGAAATGCATGGAACTTCGAAAAAATGGAAGCGGGTCTTCCAAAAAAGCAGCTGATGAAAACAAGGTGATAAGAATTATACAGCTCGAACACGCGTTGCTTTAGAAAGCTCTGAACAAAAAAAGTACTCAGGGGTGTTCCTTTTATAAAGCAACGGCTATTGAAGAATTGGCTGACGGGATTCTAGCAGGTGAACTCAACAAAACAAGCAAAGTAAGTAGAATGACGAAAATGGTAAATGAAGATGTAGGTTACAAGTCGTGGAAAACAAGCATGTGCCTGTCCCTATTTCGCTAGTAGAAAATCTATTCCTCTGTGTGAGTTAGTTCTCTTGCCCTACCAGGTAAGAATAGTATCCAATATGATGAATAAACAAAATTAGGTGGTTTTGCATGCGGCTACCAGAGCAGCATGGGGTATTGATCTCAAGGATAATGTCTTGATTCTCGATGAGGCACACAACATACTACAGGCTATAGGTTTCCTCGATCCCCGAACTTTCGTATATGATAAACACTCAGGAAGCATTTACTCGGCCGAAGTTTCTATCAAAGGATTGTCAATGGCTTTACGATTGATAAGACAATATATTGACACTTACAGGTTGAAATTCATAACTAGACGACTTTTGCCTCATATCTTTGATTTATAGAACTAGGTTGAAATCAAAGAACTTGATGTATATGCGACAGCTGATGACAGTTGTATCAGCTTTGGAGAGATTCATTCAATCCGACAATTTTAAAGAAGATGAAGTTCTACTCATCCAAGATTTGATCTTGAAAGTTTGTGAACAATGAGAAAGAAATGGAAAAAGAAAATTTCAGCTGGGGTTAACCGAAATCAATCTATTCAAAGTAGTTCATTACATGGAAGCTACGGATCTATGCAAAAAATTCCATGGATTTTTCGTACGAGCGCAAAAAAATGATGTAAAAGCTAAACAAACTGAAGTTAAAACTAGTGGGCTAGCAAAATTGATGGCTAAGAAGACAGGTGACCTTATTGCCATGTAGGTGTTTTTAAACATAAGCTGCTCAGAAGAAGTGCCTGATCAGCAAAATCAACAACAAGCCAATACCGGACCTATTCCATCCCCTCTCTATTCAATAAAAACATTTCTTGAAGCTTTAAACAACAAATGTGACGATGGTCGCATTGTCCTTGATAAGAAAAACATGAAGTACAGTAGATTATTAATAACAGAAACTTATCTACACTTAGGTATCGTTACATTCTGTTAAACCCTGGAGAACGTTTATCCGAAATTGCTCAGCAGACGCGTTCCACGATCCTCGTTGGAGGAACGATGGAACCAGCAGATTTACTAGTATGTCTCTCTTGAATGTAATGACCATATCTATTCTTAGGTCAAAAGCTTAGCTAACAAGGGGGATGAATCGAAAATCGTGAGATTTACTTGTCAGCACGTCATTGATGATCACCAACTCTTACCATTAGCAATAGGTTCACACAATTCAAATCCATTAGCTCATCTTTTTTTCAGTTAAAACAGCTAATGAGAAATCTTTCACACTAACATTCCAAACTAGAAATGACATCAATGTAAAGTTCAACAGCTTACATCTAAAAATGTTCTTTAATTCAGGTCATACGCGACTTAGGTTTGACAATAATAGAACTAATATCGAATGTTCCGAATGGATGTGTAGCTTTCTTTCCTTCATACGACTACATGTTCTTTTTCTTTCAAAAAATGAAAGATTTGAATCTTGTGCAGAAGTTTAAAGTACATTTGCATCCTACTAAATCTCATTCAATTTTGCACTTCAGGAAAAGAAAGTACTCTACTTGGAATCCCGCAACCCTACTGATGATATATTCAACAAATTTTCAACATCAGCTCGCAATGGAAACGGTGCTTTACTATGTGCAGTAACAGGAGGTAAATTGAGTGAAGGTAATTAATTTAAGACGTAAACTCTCAAAGACCTTGCGGTGAACTTATAGGAATCAACTTCAGTGATGAACTAGGACGAGGTGTAATAATGATCGGGTTACCATATCCAAACAAAAATAGTGTTGAATTAAAAGAAAAAATGAGAGTAGGTATAAAATCTATAGCTGCAGTCAAACCTACTGTTGTAGTTCTTGGATTCTCAAATACCTAATGGGGGAAAGAAGCTATACGACTCTTTGTGCATGCATGCAGTTAATCAAGCAGTAGGTAGAGCAATTCGCCATAGAAAAGATTACGCGGCAGTCTACTTGATCGATCAAAGGTAATGCTAATAAATAATGAAATGTTAAATATAAGAAAATAAAAACAAATAAATGAAAATAAACAACCGCCGAACGCCAGAGTGTAAATGAAAATGGCGTCATTATTCAAACTGCGCACATGCGTTCTCTTTTTATGCTAATTTTCCCCAACGTGTTTTTCTAACCGTTTTATACAAGTGTTCATTTGATGTTTTTTTTTCCAGATTTTCGACCCCTGGCATTCAATCTCAGCTATCTGGCTGGATAGGAAAACGTTTGAAAACCCCTTGCTCATTCAAAGAAGTTGTTGATTTGTCGAAGAGATTCTTCAGTAATTCAATGTTAAAACAATAATTGTACGGTATACAAGAGAAGCTAATACCAGATGGAAGAAGAAGTTCGTGCCCTCCCTCAGGGAAATTGTTACATGTTCTATTCGATAATATTCAAATTGTTTGAAATACGAGATTACGATAAAGTTTTAAGATAACTCTGTTCTCTGAGAAGTTAAACTTCTTGTTTTTGTCTCAACGTGCCGCTAAGCATGGCCACAAATTTGTGCTTCCGAACTTCAAGAAGGGCATAAAGAGTAATTCGGTGATGGGAATGTTCACGAACTTTTCCCGCCGTCTAATACATTTAATCAAGCTGCATGATATCAATTTTTTGGATCAAGTTGCGCAAAGAAAGCTTATAATACACTGGTTATCTGCACAGCTGCAGAATTTTTGTTTATCCATTTAATATATATAAATCATTTTGATCAATCCTGGACTTTTCAAGGGAATGGAAGCAAAAAGAAAATAAAATGAAAAAATATTTCCACAAGTTAACCTATCTATAGCTAACAGGTTAACTTAGGCTCGAAATTGCATGTACAAGTTGATTTGCAGCAGAAGTGAGATGACCTAATGATTTGACACAAATAGATCGATCTTCATGAGATGTGCTTAGCATTATGTCATTGAGTGAATCTGATAATGATGTTAACACCTTAATATGGATATATCATTAACGTAACAGTCTGTTAGCCAACCTGTTGTAGTTCTGTTGATATTAATTGAGAATGGTAAACGCTTGAATTGGCCATCACTTCAAGAGCTGAACTGCACAAACAATCCACAGCATCGGTTATCTGAACAAAACACAAAATAACCAAATCAGCTAGAAAAGCTCACTTCAGCAACGAGAGCTTGTAATTTGACATCTTCCGTACTTATGTTTATTCTAAAACTTGAAAAATTAGCAAGCAATCTAGTCTAAACAAAACATACTGAGCTAATTCACGAGCCACAGTCGCCGTTCTCTTTCCGTCTTCCAGTAATTGCATTCGACAGTTCGCATCTCCCTTTGGAGAGGGAACAGATTGACGATGGAAAGTTGAAATTTTGTGCGTTAAAGCAGATATCCTACACAACAATACTTAAACATGAATGAAATCGTATATGAAACCTTTGTAATGCGGAGTTAATATCCAAAACTTCTTCTTTCGGAGCGGAAAGGCGTTTGGTAGGAGAGTCGGTTACATCTCCAGAGAGCAAGCTTCTCCTCCTGGAGGAATAAAGGTTAATCAAAGAACTGGATGTGGTCGATGACTTCCAAGATGGAATTGAGAGCTCCCTGAAAATTTAGAAGATCTAAGCTCAGTAAGTTAAACCTTACGCGATTTGATCCCTTTTTGAAGGATCGAGACCAGTGAACTCTTTGAGGGACATTCTCCTAACAGCAACAGGAGCATCATCTGACTGTAAGCAAAAAAACTCAATTTATGGAGATGATCGACGATTTTATGAGATGTCAAGTTCAGGAGGAATTCCCTTTCATTGAATTCAAAAACGTTTAAGAAAACGAATTTACATTTGATGTTCTTTAATTTCGTTACGTCACCATAATGCAACTGATTTCGTAGAACTTTCGAAAAATGCACCAATTAAGGAAGATTCGTATTTGACTCCATATTTCTTCAGAGCTAAACTCTTTCAACCCATATGATCTATAGAAAGTAAAGGAAGAAGAGAGAGAGGATGAATCATTGGAAGTTTTTTGTTTTTTATTCTTTTTTTTTCTCCTTGGCATCAGTCTCCCTCTCGACCAGCCATAGACAAATAAGGGTATAATGAGAAAAAAACTAAAAATCATTTGAACCCAATATGCTGCAGTTGTCTCATAATTGAAACACATTTTACTTCCTGCGACTAAGCGTTTCACTTGAACACAAGAGCACCTAAGCTATGACTGTTCAAAGAGGGAAATCCATCTTCCATAGATTATCTTTCCATTTTCATACATTTCTGTCTGATTTAGAACAACAAAGAGGAATGAATTAGAAAAGAGAAAAAGAACGGAGAAACTCATCTAAACAGCTCAGAACATTCCCCTTTCGTATTCTGATGGATTTCAAAAAACTTCAAGAGAATGTTTTGATGAAGTGACTCCGTTCTCCTTGTTTCTTCTTATTTTTGTCCGCTAGGAAGCAGAATTGAAGAAATCAGAAAACTATCTTAATCTGTTTTCTCGTAGAAAACTACTCGAAGATCTTTCTTACTCAACCAACTGTTCTACGAAATTGCCTCAGAAAAGTAATTTCCGTTCGAACAATCGGAACTGTGTGAGAAGGAAGCCCATTGAAGATGGAGGAACTGATAAAAAAAACTGTATAGCTCTTAATTAAAATCGATTGGCTCGTCTTTGCAGCTTTGCAAAAGTGCAAAAGTGTAGAGAGAACGAGACAAGAGACTAGCCCTAATCAAAAAGTTACTGACCTACATGTTGTTCTTAATCTTTCCTTGCCAATATCTGAAGTTTTACTTCGCCCTAATGTTATTCAGATCTTGGCTCTGACTATGGGTGTAACGGCAGTGGTGGAATATTTACTCGAAACTTGGAGCCCTCTAACTCTGTTTCTCTCGCCATCTTCGTCTATTTTTTCGTTTCCTATTATAGCTAAATTGTGTTTGCGTCAGACAATTTTATCACGTTTCCCTCTAAACTTGAACATTCGCCTAAATATGGAAATGGGCAGAGGTTAAACACTAAAGAAACGAGAGATGTGACGACAAAAAACTTAAGGCAAACGTCAAACTCAAACGTCCAATTCGATGTTTTTTCGATTACATGTTATGAATGCTCTAAAGCATAAATGAATGACTTCTACACATCTCTGGGGACAAATCCTTTTCTCTCTCTATCTATCTCTCTCTCTCTCTCTTGTCTGAAAGATGTGAAGATTTAGATGAGGCGCTCGAGCCTTTTTTCATTCTTTCACTCATCTATTTCACCATTGTGCGATTATCAATGGCTTTCCTTTTGTTCGTATTCAGATCAATCAAACGCGAGCAAGTGAGTTCAATAAAACCTGCCAACCGAAAAGTTTTGTTCCCTGTTCTCAAATATCCAATCAATTGAAATATATATATATTTATATATATATATCTATCGAAACGGAACCAGTAGCATTGGCAGAGCAAAGGTCATACTCACAAAGCTGTTTTTGAAAAAAAACAAGAACAGTTGTTGATTCGAAATCAGGTAGAGCTCTAGTACTTTGTGATCATCATTGGAATGAAAAGCACCTAAGAGCACAAATAACAACAAACATAAAACCAACCAATAGACATTATATCAAATGGATGATCGGCATTCCCTACAACAAACTTTCATATGACCGAAGAGTGGAAGGCTGTATCTCAGCGATATACAACAATTTCGATCAGTCATCTATTATCAACAAGAAACAGCTGATAGAGCATTTCATCCACTTGGGATCTGCACACTTATGTAGTCTATAGTTTAATTCCCTGAACAACGCGATGAAAACGTCGTGCGTGTCAAAAACACCAAAGTACACCACTCTTGAATTTAGCCGCGTAATTTACATATCTGAAACTACCGCCACGTGGGACACCGGATATCCCCCGCTTTTTGAAGCAAAAAAAAACGATGCGGACGACGCAAACGATTGCATTCCTTTACTCTTCTTTTTTCTCGTTAATTTTTAGTTTTTAGATTTCGAGAGAGCCAAATGACAGGTCCAAATAGCATGTCAAGACACAATTTATTTTTTTCTTCACCTTCTAAAGAGATGTGTAAGTGTTTCAAGAGTCGAAACGAATCTGATGTTATATGTACGGAACTGCTGTGCTACACCAAATAATCTATTTGCAAATAGATATTTTTGGTATGCGCAATTTTTTTAACATCAAATTGTTTCAACGAATATTGGAGTATGCTTGAAACATGTTGTTGTAGACAACTACACACACACACACACATACACACAGAACACAATGTCAGATGACTAGCAGGGCGCTTTTCCTAAAAGGGAAAAGCATGTATGATTTCCCTTTTATGTTCATGCACTCCTCATGAAATGGCCTAACTTCCGCCGAACATTTCGTTGAAGCATATCATGATAGAAAAGGACACCAGGTAAGCAAATGAAAAAAGTCCATTTAAGCTTATTATGGTGGATGAAAAAGAAAAACAAGTAGATAGTACTTACTTGATCGCATATAGAATTAGAACGTCTCAGAAAATCTTCAATATCTTTTCGATCCATCTGAAACAGTAGCAATGAGAGAATAAAAGAAAAGCATCAAATTGCCGAAGCACAGAGAGAGAGAGAGAGACTGAGAGAGAGAGAGACTGAGAGAGGACGAGAGCATAATGAGAGGCTTGAGCTATAAGTTTGTTAAGACTTGTTGTTGCTTTTGTCATTATAAACCACATCAAAATATTTCCATATTTTGCAAATTATTACAATAAAATGATTAGGAGAACATGATGGATGTCATGGGATAACATAATGAACACAAAATAAGAAAAATAAGTCTTGTCGCCCAAATAAGAAACAAAGCGACGGCCATGCTCTCCAAACCCAATGCATTGACGAGAAATCTGAGAAGCTACGTTATAAGGTAAGTTGGTGACTGCAAACGTAACGATTATGCAGACTAAATATGGGAACTCGAAATGAAAATCATTCAGAGTATAAAGACAAACAAAACCAAAATTGATGAAGAGACTTATGATGGGCAACGAATGTTCTTTGCTTTTTGTTGAGATGCGCTTCGTATGAATGAGATGATGCTTGGTATCTGCTTGTATATCTAACGTGAGCAGAAGAGAAAAACTTGACAAGAACTCGCAAAATAATAAAAAAGGAACATCCAAATTCGTAAACTAATAACTTCACCAATTACTGACGTATACGGAGCAAAGACAAGGTCGTTGACCATGGAATTAGCATAACGAGATGAGATGGAGCATCACATGGCCTCCGATTTTGTAAAGATATTTATAGAGAAGCTCAAAATAGAAACTTGTTGACGCTTGATTTCTTCTACTTTTAAGGAGGAAAGTAAAGTTGAAAAAATTCTCCTCTGAAGGAAATGAAGGGACGTCAAAAGAAGATGAGGGGCTACGGAATATAGTGCAAGCGTCTCACGTCGACGCAGAACAGAAAGGAAATGGGAAACAGAAAGGCGGAAAATGGAATCGAAAACTTGAAAAATGAATAAGAGATATGTCTGTCGTTTGTGGAGGAACGGCAATTTCTAAGAGTCGAATGCTTCAAACGAGCGAAGTACTTGCTATTGATACAACCGAGATGATTGTTTCGTGGTAACAGATCTTCTTGACGCTATTATGCTACATCTTCAATAGAGTAGAAACTAAGACAACGGCAATATAGCCCCCATGAAGGAGCAGTAAAGTGCCTCACCTGAGCAACAAAGCTCTAGGGGGACATTCTAAAAAGAGTTACGAACCTAGGAACGAATAAAAAAAAGCATGACCATCATGTCAACTGACAGATAACTTTGAAATAACGAGACGAAAAAGGGCGGAGTTATAAAACTGACAGTAGGGGTGGAGCGAACTGGACGTCATCCCTTCTGACATGTCTTGCATCTATTCAGGATCTTTGTTTAAAATGTCGTATCTAACGAATGAAAAAGAGGCGGAGCTACTTCTCAGTTTGGCGAAAGTTAACGCTTTGACAACTTCAAGTTAGGATGTTAATGAGCCCAATTGGATTCATAGCCACAGAAGCAAAACTTAGGCATTTCAATGGGGCCATCGGAAAAGCGCAGTGATCGACGACCTCAAAAAAGAAGAGAGAAGACAAAATCTCCAAAGAAGCATCGAAGCATATGAAAAACCCGCCAAAGACGTTTTTTTACTCCGTTCACCAGTGAGAAAGTTGATAAATGAGCGCATTGCCTTAATGGCAGAAGAACGTGGTTGCATTTTTTTGAAAAAAAAATAAAAAAAAAAGAAGAAAAAGAAAAGCAAAATGATAAACTCAGAATATTAGTAGATGAGAATTAAAATATCTTGTAACGGACATATCCTTCAAAATCTTCCGATTTTCACGCCAGTCGCATCCTTAGTAGGAGCATGTGAATAGACGTGGGAGTAAGTAGGAAAAATAAGATTTGAAATAGGAAGCAAAGAGAGGAATTAAGAAAAATGATTCCGATGACTAACAAATGAATGTAAGTCACAGTTTATCCTCTTCTATTCGGGCTAACACATCACACACACACACACACACACACACAATATCAAAAGAAAATGAAAGGCTTCCAGATTTTCACCGTTAAGAAGAACATATTAGTTTGGGGGTATGGGGATAAACAACATCAAAATTTCTACCTCTGCAAATAGTCAGCCAACTTGAAAAAGAAAAGTAACGTAGCATTATGCTGGAGCCGATAAAAGGAGCATAAATTCTTGAGCAGAAAAAGCAAAAGTTGTACCAAAAAGAAAAACGGAGAATTTAAGATGCTCTCTCTCTCTTCGACCACCCGCTTCTCCTTCCGTCTTCATTTTTCCTTCTTTTTTTTTTTTGAAAAAAAATGGGAGGAAAAGACAAAACAACAAATGGAAGAATCATGGAATGCAAGGAAGGCGGTATCATGTCTGAAACGAGCTAGTGCTCTCATGGCAGGGAGATTAATATATCCCTGGAATGAGTGAAACAATAATACCCGAGACAGTGGAAACGGTAGACAGAAGCAGAAAACTCAAAAACTCCGTAAAGTCATACGGGGTACGGCAAATTATGAAATATACAGGGTTTTGTCATCTAGCCTAAGTTAAGATGTGAATTTAATAAAAATAAAAATTAACGAATATGAGTAAGTCATTGGTTCTTCAGGGTGAGGTAGTTCCTTCCATAACAGAATAACCATAATGATGAAAGTGATCACAATGATTCAGAAGTATCTCCAACTAAAGTGCCAATGAGCTTGAATGAGTTGGAAAACAGAATGAAGTTTGAACTGAATTGATTGATCTGATGGCAGCTGATAAAACATTTGCAAAAAATAAATGATAACAAACATGAAGTAAAAAAATTTCTGAAGAACTCCCAGTAAGAAAACTATTGAGGTGAGTTTGAAGTACTTGTTTTGAGCGCGAAAGCAGATCCATTGCCAGTTCACGTGGAAACGTGGCAAGTGAAGTATTCAAATATTTTCTTTATTTTTCCTAGTGCAGTGCAACGGTTGGATCTCTTTTTTTTTTTGAGAAGCTTTCATCTATTTTTCATTTAAAGTTTTTTCTCGGGATGCTCTTTGTTTTATAATTCATTGTCAGTTGCTTCTCACGAATAATCTAATTTTAAATTCGAGCATTAAGAGAAATAAAAAAAAAGTTTGACAACTAACTAGTATCTTTAACATGTAAACTCTAATCAAAAGTTAAATTTTTAATTTGATGTTCATGACTCTTTGAGACATAAAAGTTTCAATGCAAAAATAAATTGTCTTGTTCAATGATTGAAGATCGCCTAATCATGAGGCTATTGGATGGCTGACCTTTTTTGAGCATATAGCATTTCAGCAGTTATACTTGAGAATATTGCGTACATCAACATCCATCTACATAGATGAAAATAAATTGAATGAATACATATCTTATGTTTTTCTCAGACATATCATGCAACTCTCAACATGCTTATCAAGACGATTTTAAAGGTAATTGTCCGAAAAGTTATCGATTGAGTTGAAGTCAGCTAATGATGCTTTACTCGACGCCCTTAAACTCAGATTCGAAAAACAACCCACAAAATTGAAAAGGAAACAACAAGAGAACGAAACTAAAGAGTTATGGAACGAAAAATGAAAATGGCGAAATCTTGAGATTCAAAAGGAAACATTTAAAGAATTCAGGTTGAGCATGTGCAGAAGTAAAATGAAATGTTCAATGCCAAACCGTTTCCTGCATGCGTAAGATGATACAGATAAAATTGAAGATTAAAAGAAAACAAAAAAAAAACATGCAACAACATCCGTTTGTGTTTGTTCTAATGGCTCAAGAAGCTTCAACGAGTTCGTCTCGTCCACCTCATGCAATGCGAGTATTTTGTCCAGCTAAGTGGAAGTTGAAGACGGAATCAAGTTGCTCTTAACCGAACGACTCCGAATCGTTTCTCAATTGGATTTGCCGTTACCGCGTACGCTTGTCATATATGTATGACTGAATACACAACCCAATAAAGATTGTATGTGAATTAGAGCTAAAGAAAGGAACTCACAAAAAATGGATGAAAGACATAATTGGAGGAAAGTTATGGAAAGAAAATTCGCTGTTTTTGGGAAGTAAATGAAGAATTTTAAATAAAAAAAATTTTTTTTTGAATAGACCAAAAACAGTTGAAAACATTTTCCGTTCCATTGTGTCCTGTGGAAATATGTCTTCTACTTGATATGATTGTTTCTGAAACATATGCAAACTATACGAAAGAGTAAAAACAAAACTGCTACATCGTACAACACAACCGTCCTCTCTCTTGTCGATTCTCTAAATTATAGATGTTCAGCAGTTTCACGTGAAATTCTTTCACGCACATCCCACGTATATTAGAGTTACTGTCAAACTTCGTTAGATCATTAGAGAACACTTGATACATCGGATATCCTGTATGGATCATACATATGAAAACAATTATTTCTACGAATCCCATCAATCGATGGATCTGTGTTGATGCTTCTTCTTCTCCTTCAGCAGTTTAATTTGCTTTTTGCCGATTCCAATCATTGGTTCAGAACATATAAAGAAAAATTGTTTTTTGTCAATGTAAGACTTTTCCATCCCTTCAATAAATGAGGAAATTTGGATTTTATAACTTGGGGTTAATACAAACATGAAAACTTGTTTCTCTAATTCGTCTTCATTCCTCATCTTGTTTTCTGCTAACGACAGAGCCATGACGCTAATTCTGCGCTCATCCGCTGCACTCAATTTGACCAATATTTCCTTATGTATCTTATGTTTATGCAGCTAACATCATCGTCTTCATATGGATTTATCATAGTGCCTTCCGTTTACAAAATGTAAAAAACGTGCTCTAGGCAGCGAGCTTCCAGCTTTTTGTTTGCATTTCAGCTATTTGTCTTGAAGTCCTCAGCCTTCAACAAGCTCGTGGCGACCTTTCCGCAGAAGTTCTTTTCCGTATCAAGTTCCAGTCTTATATATGGTAATTTTTTATTTTTTGTTTTATATTATGAGATGTATATAGATCTCAGCCGATGCTCTTATCCTAGTTCTCCTTCTACTCTTTCATATCTGGTGCATAGTTTATTCCCATAAAGCGGAGCTTGGAGCTGGAAACCTGCAATTCTAATGAAATTATATATAGTTTCTATAATAATTGATCAATAAACCATTTTTTGGCAATTGAAGCTCCATCGCAAACATGAACCACTGGTTTCAGTTTCAAAACAAAGTCCTGCCT